GAAAACAACATGGAAACAACTGGAACTTCAAGTACATCCAACCATTCACACATGGCCACAATATTGGTACACTTCAACTTGCCCGCATCAATGGAGAAGAATACCTTGGAATGGGCTGGTGGAAGGTGCATCGATATAGCGAGAATGAGTGGATGGGCAACAAGTGGGAAAACCCGCCATGGATGGTTGAACTGTCGAAAAGGTTCAATGCTGCGCTACGCCACTCCGTGGGTTGCGTCAGAGACAACCGAAATCACCGTGGACTTCCATGCGATGAGGCAGGATGGGTCAATGTTGAGTCGATCTTGAAGTACGATGCTATTTGGAGAGACTAACATACATTGGCGGGAACGACACACGTCAACTATCCGATACTTGTTGAGAGGTGGAACAATTTCCAGAGAGTGATTTTCACCGAGTACAAGCAAACGAAGAGAATCCGAGCCCAAGTGCTAGGACTCAAAGTCACAAAGGCTGAGTTGGAATACCTCTTGGACAATTTCAATGATGGATTGACATCGAGACTTGATCGACAAACACTGAGGTTGGAGATCGGCACAGCAGATCGAGAGATTTGGCTTTGGCCAGTGGCAATCCGAGCTCCTATGGCACATTCAAGAGTTCAAGGCGGTGTGCACATCGAAGACAAGAAGACTTCCTATCAGATGAACCCTGGAGTAGGATACACCCTTGGAGGAGGATTTCATTGCACCACATTTGACAACATCGCTCAAATCTTCAGAGAAGGACTACGTCCCGGAGGAGGAGGCGACCGCATCAATACGTTCTTCGTGCCATTTGCGCCGTGGGATGTTCGAAGTCAGATGGTGCTGAGGTTCAGGAAGATTGAACAAACTGATCTTGTCTACATCTACATCACGTACGATTCCATCGCCAAGTTCTCCCCCAGATTGTCAGCAGACGGACACATTTTGGTCCAAGAAACAATTCCATTCGAATCATTCGATGCTGTTTGGTATTACGATTGGAAAGAAAAGGACTATTACCGTCTCATGATCACGAAGGGAAGAGATCAACTTGTTCTTTCTGTGCAAGGAGCAAAGAGAGTGGCCACCATTGAACGATTTGACAAGCTCATTGGAAACATTGTACCTGAAGAATCGTCACCCGATCTTGACGAACTTCGAAAACTTGTCGATATCAGGACAGGTCACTTCAGTCATACTCACAGATTGTTCCCTGGACATCCGGATTGGAATGATGCAATTTCATTATTAGCAGTCACTCATCATCCTAGCAAAGAGGACCATCGACTATGCCCCGCATGTCTGTTGGAAACCCCTGCGCCTTTGTCAATTTGTGTGATGTGCAAAGGATTTTTGGTGAGTCATGGATGGAGGAAACGAATCAAAATCACCGTGGCGACCGTACCAAAGGCCGAATCACATCATCGAGAAGAAGATCTCAAAGACCATGTCAAGAAAGCATGGGAAGAAGTGAAGATCGATTTGACAGGTGATGATGATAACGATGAGGCAATGCCAGATGATGATGACGTCACCATGAAGAGTCCAGAACAAGAACCTCAACCAGAAGAAGAAAATGATGATCAAGCCTCGAAGAAGGGCGACATCAATGACGAGAAAAGAGACTTCAGAGAGCAAGATGAGGTCGACGAATTTCTCAATCAAGAGGGAAAACCGACCGACGAGAATGATGTTGAAGAATCAGCGGTCGATGAGATCAATATTGAAGAGTACGAGGCTGGAGAAGCTCGTGATGCAGAAATTGAGTACCCCAAGTGGATGCAGCGAATTGAGTTTGGATCAAAGGTCCTGCCAATCGAACCTTGCACAATTGGAGATGCTCAACCAGAATTCATCAAGATCCTCCTGTTGCAGATGGGTTTACATATCGTCAGGATCTACAGACTATTCCAACGGAACTTCTGTGGAGACATCGGGACGGCATGGAAACATTTTCAACAGAACCAGAAATTTAGGATGGACCTGGATTCAAGGACACCCTACCTGGGCGAGGATGAAAATGGTGAACTCATTGAACCAACTGCACAACAGATGAAAGAGCTCTACAGGACGATCGGCCGACCAAATCAAAAGGACGACATCGGAGAAGAGGGATTCGTCAATGCTTATTATGGGGCAGTAGTGCTCAAGCGACTTCTCGTATATACCCTTGAGTGTGGCTACACGTATGATGATTTGCAGAACATCTTCTTTGATGAAGAGATGGAGAAGCTGTCGAAGCGTGACACAACAATGGATGAGATGAGAAAGACCACAGCGGCCCGCGACGCCCTCGACCGACAAGACGTCTTGGTCAGAAGAATCATTGCAGGTGCATATAGGGTAAATGCTGTTTATTTCTTCAGGAACGTCGACTTTCAAGACACAATCACACTGAACCCAGTTGACATTGTGTGTGCTCTTCGTCCACCACTTCGAAGAATTTCACTTTTACACCTGATCCTTCAGAATGGCCGACAATTACCACGACCTCTACTCCAGAAGCTATATGATGCAATCGATGATTACAATCACATCAAGCAAAGGGAAGATCAACGACCAAGGTGGGGCATTCACTTGACAGAAGCTCACATTCTTGCGATTGCTGATACCCCAACTCCTGCTGATCGTGAACGCACCGAACCAGCCGCTGGCAAATCGAAAGCAGCCCCGAAGGCAGAACCAGCACTGGGAAGAGCGTCAAAAGCGAAAGCATCATCGTCAGCGACATGGAGAACAGTTGAAACCGCTCCTCCGCCTAAACAAGCTCCAGTGACCCCGCCAAAGAAGGGTGGAAAAGACCAAGGAAAAGGGGGAAGATCTTATTCACATCGTGGCGGAGACTGGAATCATCAGGGATACTATGGATGGGGATATAGATGATCAAGCGATCTGACCTCTGCATAGGTCCTGATTGAACCTGGCGATGCGAGGATGCAATCAGTGCTCGAGATTTACCTCCACTTCATTTCGAATGATTTCTGAGAGGGCTCTGAGCCGGCTAATTTGGAACCACACATTTTTTTTGAACATCATTGCATGAAACGCTGAGTTTCTACAGCGGTCTACGTCTCAACCGACGAAGGAATGGGAAGGTAAACTTCTAATTCCATAGTCATCTTTATGTTTGATTTTTTTTTCTAATTCACATGCTTGAGTGGGAATCCATGCTGGCTACGCCACATAGGATGAACCTCAACGCTAGACACCGACTACGTCGTGTCTGCGTGCACGTGAACAGATCCTTTATTTTTTTTGGTAGAGATCGTAGCAAGCCGCCATGTAGATTGGAAGTTCTGAAACGAACTTTAGCTCTCCTTAATTCGACAAATGAACAGCTGCAGATGTAATGGAACGATTTAAAGGACACTCCTTTGCGCGTGGCCAACGAAGTTGGCCATGCGTGGGGGGTGCGAATAGGATGTAGGCTACGGCATAGTACATAATCCCACATAAACATCCTACTATCGTCCATGACCAAAGGTGTGCATGAAATGCCCCTTTGGCTCAAGATTACTGCAGAAGCCAAGAGTGAGAAACAACGCCATGCCGAAACTGCAATCCTTGCGACGTCATTGTTGAGAACCTTAACCTCAAGACAAAGCGACAACTATACATAATCGGGGAGACAACCTCCGATTCACAATCTATCTATCTATCTATCTATCTATCTATCTATATGATTATCTGTCTATCTCTCTCTCTCTCTCGCTCTCTGTATATCGTTGGAGTGTCACTATATTATTATCTCTATCATGTCTGTTATACATATATATATATATATGTGCATATTTGCATATTTGCATTCACTTAATATATGCATCTATTGATCAGGCTATATACACCATCATTGGGGTTGTCACCATTGGGGTCACCACGGCCAGGCATGTCTGCGTCGCTCCGCGATGCTGGAGACCCTGAGCGACGAGCAGATCTCGCAGCTGGCCGATGCGTCGGGGGTCCCCGGGGGTCCCCGGGGTTCCCGGGGGACCTGCACGGTGACACGAAGAGGTCTGGTGCACATGGCATCATGGGGAAAGCATAGGAAAACCCTGGATGGAAACCAAAGGAAAATGGTGATTTAAACCTGCAGATTGATGGGATTTAATGGGATTTGTAGCTGATTGATGATACCTGAGTTGGTGGGAATAACTCCAATTTCACTATGGTTTATGATACTTGCAACTATAGTATTCATGGGGTTCATAAACCAACAAACTTCATGGCTAGAAAACCAGGATTTAACCATGGTAAATGGTAGATTTGATGTGGATTTAACCATTAAACAATGAATCTTAATGTCTAAACAAATTCCAGCAGAGCCCTAGAACATACCCCTTGCCACTGAAAGATAGTTTATGAAAGGACTCCTTTCATTTGGGGCCGTTTTTTAGGGGCCTCTTAAGTATGCTCCAGAGGTATGCTCAAATCATTTCGGAAAGCATATTCTCAGGAACGGGGATGGCCCCCACTTCTGCCCATTGGGAAGCTGACGTGCAAAATTGATTGATTTTCAACAACACATTGGCCATGGGGCATCCATGTTTCAGACCCCAGTGCCCAAGTGTTCGAAAAGTGTCTCCCTTCCATCGTCTTCCATCGCCAGGTGAACTCTGACCGACCGTTTTGGTGAATTGGTGAATAGCATTGTTCGGCTTTGCTGTTAATTGGTTGGTGAATTTATGACACTTTGGCATCCCAAATTCCCAGACAAGTTAACAGTTAACTTTTTGAGAGAGATCTAAGGGACAAGCCAACCAAATCCATCCAATTTAATAGTATTTGTGGATACTGATCCAGATTTGTCCCTGATCAATCCTGTCCATTCTGGGAGAAAGGGTTCTTTGTAGCCACCTTCCGGTTATCAAACATGGTTTGCTGGAAAATGCCCCGGCCATAGTTCGATGATTTTCCCAGCCACGTCCATGGCTATTTCGGGGATTTCGGAGCCACAGAGCCGAGGACACCTGAGGGTACCTGAAATGACCACTGACTCCCAACTCGCCCAGGTTGATGACGAAATGCTACGATGCGGATGAGGTGACTGCGACAGGGATGGCAGTTGAAGGGTTCTGGGCTGATGCGGGGATCGCAGCAACAGATGCCAAAAAGTAGAATCATCTCAAATTCAAGTCCGAAATTGTGGTACAATATGGTGCAATCATGTTTATATAACCAAATTCAAGTCCAAATGTAAAAAACTGTGGCAAAATTGCAGGTGATTGCAGAATATTACACCTGATTTTGCCTCTAAAATGGTGGAAAACATCATTTTGAAGTATCGCAGCCATTCGCAGCCATTCGCAGCCAGGACATTGTAACCCAGGGCGATGCCGGGGACGAGTCGGGAGACCCAGACAGAGGGGGAAGCAGTGGGTTTTTGAACAAACAGAAACTGCGAGAATGGTGCAACTGAAGTAACTGAAGCGGCAAAAATATGCAAAAATCAAATCGAAGCACCAAGAGAAGCGGATGTTTACCGCCAAGAAAGGACGTAACATGATGTAACAGATATTATTAGGATTCAATCACCAGACAAGTAGGGCAAAGACTAGCGACTAGGTAAACATACCGACCATGGTAATCCGTGGCCCTAGCAGGAGCCGTGAGGTACTCCCAAATCTCCTGCCCTGAGGGGCCTGCGGAATCTGAATCGACCTCCTTCTTTTTAACTGGGGGAATCTACCAAAAACTAAAAACATTTTTTCAGGGATCTTAGGGGAAGTGATCCCACCTGGCTCCAAGCTTTTGGGATGCTTTACGCCCACTGAACCTCTGCGAAAAAAAACACCACACCGAGGTTCTATGTGATCTTGGAGGGCACCTGCGCACGGTAACCCTGGTGGAATGGGACAATTTCATCCAAAGCCGGAGGATTTTTGGCTTTTTTTTCGCATTCAAAACCGCGAAAAAACCACCAAAACCGCGAAAAAAAACAACCATATCAATACAATTTAATGTGGTAAAGCCAATGCCATAAACATCCATCTTCACTGACTTACCATATCTTGTCATAAAAATGGGTGGAATTGAAATCATCCCTGGCTTTGAGTTGTCATGGTCCGTCTCAGGTGAACAAAGAAACCACTGGTTTGGCATTGGAGCCATGATTTTTTTAAAGGGCCAATCATGGAAATTTAGCTGTTCGAGTTTGTACACACGCACACACACACACACATATATATATATATATACATACCACCCAGTCTATGAATGCCGCGATGGGGTTCAAGTCATTTCTAATTGGTATATTATGTAATCCCATCCCCGCCATTTCTTTTAAAGCGTCCTTAACTACACCGAAAACGAAACCCAACGGTGGAATGCTCTGGATATATGTCCAAGGTTGTCGAGGTGAAGACTGGCAAGGATGACGTGCAGGAGACGACGATGACCTGACGTTTGTTTTTGTGTGGAAGAAGTGGAGTTCAGCAAAAGGGCGAGAATTTCAAGAAAATACCAAAAAGGTATGGGGACTCATGACGCAAAGTACGGGCAATTTCATCCAATTTAATCACATGCAATTTCATCATAAAAGAACGGATCACTCCCAGAAAGTGTGAGGAAATTCAGCAGCAAATGGCTTTCAGCAACGAAAGATGTTGGCTTCCACCAGCACCTGGGGATGTTTATCATCCCAAAAGCTGGGAATTTGAATGGGATTTGAGGTCGCGGCCCTTGTTCTTGTTGCGCAGGACACCAGAAAACCGGAAAATCATCAGAAACCAGCAAAGTGGATCGCAAAACTACGCTACTTCCACTAGCATCACTAGCTAGTTCTATCACTTCCCCTTTTTGTTGCTCAAGATGCCTTGTCAATTGATTGAATCCCAATTGTTGGGGTAGACAAAATCAATGTGAATTTTGCTGGTGTACTCCTGGTCCAGGAGCACCGGCGGTGTTATGCTGGAGACATGTTTGGCGAGAAGGTGGACAGGGAAGGAAACATGTCTCCTTAAATGTCTCCAGACTGGGATGTATATAATCCCATCCCCCTTTTATATTAAACACCCAGGAACCATTTAGAAAATTTAGATTTTAGAACCATTTAGGGGGTGTTTAATATTAGGGGGATGGGATGTATTTTTGGGCTTTGTCTCAGAGTTTGTCCCAAATCCAATTGTTGTTCATCTGGGTAAACCATGGTGAGGGATGATATCATATGATATCCTCCCAACCTGTGAGGATGTGGTTGAGAAAAAAAAACCGTGAGAAACTCACTGCAGTAGTGTAGCTAGCAGTCCAATTGCAGACGCCCAAAGCACAAAAAGGTACCTCACCTAGAGATCCATACCCCGGGTATTTCCAACGGCTGAGTGGGACCTCTCTGTTGCACTTAGATTATTTTTCACAGGTCTGGTCATTTGGTCAAAATCAATATTCAACACATTTCAATCTTGTGACCATCTGCCATTCGGCTGAGTGGCATTGTTTCAGACCCCATTTTGAAACCCATTCTGAAAGATTTGGCAAGTCCGGCATTGCTGGGGTTCTTCCAGCTATCAATGGGTGACATGTTACATGGTACACCGTACACCATGGTTATCAGCCGGATATGATTTCTGATACCATACATGACGCACCCTCATAGCCAAGCATCTAGGGGTGGCCATCCATCTGATGACCATAAATCTCTGATTTCCAATCGCGATTAACCAATTTATTGTATTTATTTTCCTCCTAGCTGTTTCTGTAAGCAGAAAATCCTGGAACAATATTTTTTTGCCAAGTACTCCCTAAACTCATCAGTTTCTTTATCGCCAAGAAACTCAGACAATTATTCGTCGCAGCGTCGCAGCGCCGCCCGCCCCCCAGAGTGTCACAGCGTCACAGCGCCAACCGATACTTCGGCCCCCCTTGTCCCAAGCACTGATATATTTCTCTTAGCCAAGAAATCACTTGAGAAATGATAGGTTTCTGTGGGCACCTTCTTTCTATGGGGTTGCTACAAGTGAGTCAGTACAAAAATGGGGAGATATAGTGTCAACCCCTTAAGAAACACTCGCTGACAAAATTAGCGCGTTACCCCTAAGAAGTGATCAGAAGTGATAGCATTTGCTACCAATGTGGCATCAATTTCATATCCAAAAAATGTCATGTGACATCATTTAATTCATATTTCCTGGCTTGCTTGCCGTTTGAGGCGAATGATTGCCATTCTTTGGGTAAAGAAATGCAGCAATTTTCACCCCTTTATCTACCTATTTTAATTTTCACCAAAAGTATCTGGGGTGGCGAGGGGGCGACCAATTTTTGATCATCCACAAGAAGTGAGTGCTACCAATCGCATTTGCTACTAGAAGGGTACCAATTTCACAAAAAAAACATTTGATATCATCTCAATCCCAGTTAAATCAGAATTAACCCCCCTATCTCCCATGAATCAATCCTCCATCAAGTCAAGTCCATTCCAAAAAATCCATGAAAATACCATGCCCATGAAATCCATCTTTTGCATCCCATTAAGCATCCCATGGAAAAATCACCATAAGAACACCCTGGAAATCCCCACAGAAACCCAGCATCACCGTGGTCCGGCTGTTCAGGCCTTACTGGAGAAGACCAGGCGCTCTGCCACGGTGCGAGCCGTCACGCAGGTGGAGGCAGAGACCGATTTCATGGCTTCATCTGGCCCTCTGGTGATGACATTCACAGGGCTAGCCATGGGTTTTTAACGATGGCCCATAGCATCGAAATAGATCGTAAACACCGAACTTAATAGCATGGTGAATATTTGGTGGATCTTTCCTATGGCGAAGTGTTAGTCATAAGCAGATGGTTTTTTTTTGGGATAACTGTGAATTCTGGTGTTATCGATGATGGTTTAATTTGGTCATTTCAGCAAGTGATATATGGATAACCAGCAAGGGATGGATATTTTATCTGGTTTAATTATGGGAAATATCGATGATGGTTTGATCTGGTTTAATATGAACACATAGATGACTGATGGGAATAGAATGTTGGTACAATGGGCTTAGTAAGGGTGGCTGGTATGTTTATAGTATTTTATGTCCTGGGACTTATTGTATAATAGTACGGTACACTGAGATTCATTGTGCAGTATAATGGTGGCACAGTGGAGGTTGAACCATGAAAATGGTGGTATAATGGGGCTACTCATGGGGCTAGTAATGGGCCTAGTCATGATTTATAATTGGATACGCTCCGGTTATTAGACATGGCTAGCTGGGAAATCCACTATATAAAGGCCATTGGGCATTCTAATGCAAAATCATCAAGCAAAACAAATTTTGAATTGCTATGTTTGATTGCCGGAAGATGCGATGAATAGAATAGGATAGGAGCTGATGGAAGAGTTGGAGATTGAATGTGACATGTTTTTATATTAGATTAGATGGGACATGAATGTCATTCTATGATAGAATGGGGAGATAATTAAGTTCCGGCTGTAAATATAACGCGGTATACCAGCATTTGGGTTCGTTCAAAAGTTCCCCAAATTTGCTTCCATGGGTGATGAACAATGTTTTTTTTTCTTTGGGGGGGTGGCTGAATTTTCAGAGGAAAGCCATACAGTCCATGTTGTAAATCCCAGCGTCATTAGACAATCTTCATGATGTGTGATCCCCTCAATTGATCCGCAGATTGAGTGGCCATTCCATATTTAATGTGGTTAAAACAGTAATAAACCATCCCCTTAAAATCACCATAAATGTTTGGTATAAACCATCAAACATGGGGTGGTTTATTATTGTTTTAACCACATTATACCCATTTTGTCTGGGCTATCTTGGTCGCTCTTCTGTGAATTGGGCAGTTGCAGCACACCCCAGCCACGTCACATGGCTGTGTCCAGGGAGGTACCAGCCTGGGTTTGCTAGTATGTCGATTAATATGTGGCTGGTTCATTGGCCCAGTCTGGTGAAGCAAATAGTCCACCAATACCGCAACTTCCTAAATAGATTTGCAAGTTCACATCTTTTCCGAAGGGATTTCGCTGGAAAATGGGATCCAAAGTTTCTTGAACTCAACTTGGTTGATTGTTCGAAGGTGTTTGCCAACCACGTTGGGACGTTGGCTTCTAACAATCTGATTTGCCAACAAAAACACTCTGCTGTGACTGCTGTGCACAATTTTTGGCTCTCTCCTGAGGCATTGAAACCATACAAACTCGCTTTGGTCACAGTGTAGTCTGCCACATCTAGCAGATTGGAGCCTGCTTTCTTCAATTTCAAGTCAAAAACGGAATTGAAAGCGAATGACCTTCTGCAGGAATGCCTTGTCATGCGCTATAACTAGTGCTTTTATCTTGTGAATTTTCCTGACAGGGTACTCGTAGTAGGAAGACACTCAAACTGGTTGATGGGCTCAACGTCTTTGTTTTCAACACCGATTTGTTTCAGCTGATGATTCCCAATATTTTTTAATGACTTTTTGACGACTCTTTGGTTGAAACTGGTTCAATCAGAGGTTGATGATTGATGATTGATGATTGATGGTTGATGATTGATGATTGATGATTGATAATTGATGATTGATTGATGATTGATGATTAATGATTGATGAATGATGATGATGATGATAATAATGATGAGGACGAGGAGGAGGAGGACGACCGCGACGATGACGATGATTTCCAACGACTTTTCATAAGTTTTCATAACTTTTAATGACTTCGGTGTGGGGTGATGTGGGGTGGCCCAACCACCAGCACACAATCCAGGTGCTACTTCTGAAGCGTGCCGCCTTCGAGCGTATGCGGGGGACCCGGGGTGAATACCACGTGGGGGTTTGAATATGGAATCGCCATATCCAGAATCATGTTTCATTGTTTCACCCATTTGTTCAGGTGAACTTATGTTCAATTTTTATATATATATATATATCAATTTTTTGAGTTGTTCTTTCCGGGTATAGACCGTAATTAGAACATCGTTGAATTTCTTGGAAGTCGAACATATTTGGAGTGACTTGCCGCCAGTCTGACTTTCACGCCTTGCATCACAGGTTGGGCCCCCTGAGCCAACTTCAGGAGATGCACTACTTGTGTGATCCAAGGTGGGGAAGTTGGAGGCATTTCAGCAAACGTTGCTGGTGATTTTCCATATTTTTTTTGTATGTTTACCAGAACATACCATCCGGTTATTTAACATAGCAATGGAAAGATCCACCATTTTTAAGAACGGTAAACCATCTATTTCTATGGGCCATCGAAAAACCAGGGCTATGTTATAACCAGAGGGTAACTATAAATAACCAAATCCTATGTGGCGATGGATTCGATGACCAAGGATCTGCCGGATTCACGCGAAAATCGGATGACGAAAATCGCTTGAGGGATCTGAAAACAAGAAGCCGAACACCAGAAGTGATGGTGAATCAATGGTTAAGTTAAAATCAATGGTGAATCAATGGCTAAATTTTAATCAATGGTGAAAACAAGCAACCATTTACGAAACTCCACTAGATTCCGAGAACAGACAAAAACCTAGCATGAAACCCATGAGGACCGAAAGACAACGCATGTCAGCACATCCACGCGAACGTCATTGGGCCACCCCACCCCTCTCCATCATGACTGAAAGATAACGCATGTCAGCACATCTACTTGAACGTTATTGAGCAAGAAGCAGCAAAAAACATGAAAAAAAAACCAGTTTGCAGGCCGCAGACAGAGTTTCCTGGTCACCCCCTGACAGGTTGCCGTGCAAAAAACAGGTGGCCCTGGGATTTTTTCCAGCATTGAGTCAGCCATTGACATCATGGGGATCATCCCTTCAAGGATGATCGGCAGGGATCAACCCCTCCCAGGCAACGTGGGGCAATCCAGCACTATCCATCACCCCATGATCGCATTTAACTCATTGAAGATCTTGAAGTATTGTAATTAAGTCATAATTAAGCTCTTTTTGAATGACTGTAGTCAAGTGGTATTGTTTGCATCGCAACTTATGAAACCTATTGGACATGAGGTTTAAAACCCTGGCTTACCACATCCAAACCTGGCGTTTCATGTCGTTTCCTCCATATCTGTTTCCTCCGGCAGATCAAGCAGCAGCTTCAGGCGAAGCATCGCCAACTTTTACCAACCCGGTCATCATATAGGGCCTGCAGGTGGTGGGTTTGGATCCGATGGTTTAAGTTCACCTGGAACTTATGTGCAAATGGAACCACTTGGGCAATCTTCAGCCCTAAATCATCAATTCGTTGGGACCCCGGGAATTCAGCAGAACATGTTGGGACCCCGGGGTTCGCGACTTGTTTACGACGCGCCGTTGGTTGTGCGTTTGTTGTGACTTACCATTCTGGCTTCATCCAGTCCTATATACAATGAATAGTGACAAGGTGGTGCCCCCCAAGTTATAAATGGGTTATAATCCCATTAACTATAGATATATCACCTATAAACCATAGTTATTGGACTTATAAACCAACTTAGCTAGCTATGGGGCACCACCCTGGATGAATAGTGGAACTATTTCTAGTTTCCCCGCATTGGATGAAGGGACTTCCCGCCTGCGATGCACTCTACCAACAGACATCTCGTGAAAGACTGGCAGAAATGGTGGGATTGCCGAATATGAGAAAACTTGGCCGGAATAAAACTTAAGGTGATTTGGCATAGGATGGCATCTGTTCATGGCTTCGGGGGAAAAAAACTTGTTGGATCTGTTTTTGCTACCATTGTAGGCATGTGTATGTTACAGTTCATTGCCATTATTATTGTGCAACTTCACATCGCATTCCACTTGAAACTTGCATTTTTTCAAGTGTTTCCAATTCCACGTAACCCGGAGGTATATGGCACTTATAGGGATTATATCCCAACTAATGGGGGTCATTGCACAAAAGGCATCCCAAAGTAGGGTAAATTTCAGGATCTCCCCCGCTATAGACCAATTTTCCCCCCCTCTCTCTCTCTCTTTATTTTATATATATATATATTAATATACCAGCCCATTTATATACCCAGTAAGGTTTGCATTTGCAGCATCCACATGTTTCGATTCTCGGGGGGCCCATGATCTGCCAGGTGTTTCGGGACAAGGAGGCCATCGAGCCCCGGGGGTGATCCATATTCCCTGTGAAACTCATAGGGAGTTGGAGTGACTCAGTTTCCCAGATGAGACGATGTGTCAAGGTCAAAACTTTGATGATCTTTGATGTATCAATTTTGGGGGGATGGTCATCAATCCATTATATATATTATATAATAGGGATTTAAGTTTATATACTAATTCTAAGGAATTCTAGTTGATGATGGTTGGATGACTATAAACCATATTGACATATTGACCGCAGCAAATCATATTTGGGCGTGTCTGAAAATGGTAAACTGGTGGCAGATTCCTTTTAAAGGGGAGTAGGGGCACCTTGTTTCAGACAGTTCGATAGTTTTTTTTTGCCCAAGCACTATTTGAATACTTGGAAGGTGGAATACTTATTTAACATGTGGAATTTGAGTCGAACTCGGGATTTCAAGCATGGACACATGGCAACACCAGGCAATCGGTGCGGAATACGCTGGCAAAAGTTCTTGGCTAAACATGTATGGGATGGACTAAAACATATGAAAGCCTATCAGCCTCCAAAGGGGACTTACCGTTTGCCATAGGAAACCATCATTTTGACATTTTGAATAGGTGAATCATCTACAGATGGGCCAGTTTCATCCCTTTTTGAGGGTAACATTCAACGACAACTCGTTTGCTCCATGGGATGTTTATCGCTGTCTAGCTTTGACAACATGTTTCATATACCCTCTGGTGATCAAATGTGGCAATGGAAAATATCCTATAAGAATCTATAAGACTTGGGTTTCATTGGGAACATATTTCTTAAACGGTTTTTCTTTCTGTTTCCATTGCCATGTTTGATTACCGGAGGGAAGTTTACACACACACATATATATATATATATATATTATATATATATATTTACACATATATTTCTAATTTCCCGTTGGGGATGAGAACGCCCATTTGACACGTCCCCCACGCAACCATCCCGAATTTACCGAATTCTACCATCTGGGGGGGCCGTTCTTACACCCCAAAGATTGGGTTACTGGGACCCCCTCAACCTTCGCGGATTGAACAATCTGCAGGACACCTGAGGCTACGTAGCCTTATAAAGTTTATAATGTCAACTCTGGATTAATAAACCCCGTTTACGGCTGTTTTTTATTGGGAGGATACCATTTAAGCATTAGATTATGGCTACTGCCACCTGAGCCGCTCTTGGCTCAGTGATCAGTGATGGGGACAGTGCTGCGACGGCACCGGAGCCGCTGTCCGGTGCATGCTGAGAAAGTTGCCCAGTCTGAAGGAAGGACGGTTGGGAAGGCGCCAGAGTTCAACTCGGGTGAACGATGTGAACCCAAGAAATAGCCTTGAGAAATCCCACGTGGCAGAACATCACCGAACTTACCCTCTGGTAATTTAACATAGCTATGGAAACTCACCATTTTTAATGGGAAAATTGACTATAAATGGACAATTTTCAATAGTTATGTTAAATTACCAGAGGGTAATGGAATCTTGAATGGGAAATTCCTCGAACCCAATTTTAGGGGATTTTCCGGCTGGGGCTTCTGGGTAGGCCCATTTGTGAATGATAAATGATTCGGTTCATCTTCAACCAGTTCTTTGGTCGCCAGCGTTGGTCAAAGATTTTTTGAGACATAGCCAACCTAGCAAGAACAGAATAGCAAAAACCAGAAGGTAGATAGGACTCGCATCTGTATTAGATACCTCCACTTTTAACTTGGAATTGTTCATTGTTCTTTACTGAATTGAACTTGAGACCCCTTCAAACATGGCCGCTGACTTGCAAGCAATATGCGGAATAGGAGGCTAGGTGACTAGATCTCATGTTAACAAAAAGAGGATAAACTAGGCATCTTATATAGTACCCAAAATATCAGCAATGTTGCTAAAAGAGGATAAACTAGGCATCTTAGTACTTAAAATATCCAAAACATGGTTTGCTTCTAGGAGGATCATCCTTACGATAGTCCTCCAAGTGGCTTATCCGATTAACAAACAGCATTACAAATGTATATAAATCTGGGCAAATTATAACGACCTCACTGCGACCGAAGCCTGGGAATCATGGTTTATTTTAGGGGAATCATCCCCTTTTATGGCATTAATTCAGGTTAGTGAAATATTATAATTTACCCAGATACTTGTATCAATAGATTAGAAAATCCCAGTTGCTAACCACGAGCCGTGAGATGATCCTCCAAGTACAAAACTTGGAGGTTTCCCAAGTCATGGGGCTACCCCTAGTTATCATCCATTTTAGATTGGGATGTTCCATGAAATAAACCATCCAGCTATGGGGGTACTACCATGGCTAGTGACTATGGAAACCACCAATTTCTCAGAAAATACACTCTGGTAATTTAACATAGCTATTGAAAATGGCCATTAATAGTGGATTTTCCCATTAAAAATGGTGATTTTCCATAGTTATGTTAGTTTACCAGAGGGTAATCCCAACCACTGTCATTCACAGGCTCGCTCTCTGGCCGTGGTGGCCCTGCAGAGAGCGCAAAACGCTGGAACTCGAACTCCCGCGGAGATTCAACGGGTCTTGGCGCCGTCACGTGGAAGGGAGAATTCATGGGTGGTGCCCCATACTCCAATAACTGGGGTTTATGGGGACTATATCTTTATAGTAAGGGGGATGAATCTAACCAACTCAGAAGTTAGTGAACATAACTCCAATAACGTTTGAGGTTACGGGTATGATCTCAATTATATCTTTATATCGGGGATGAATCTAACCAACTCAGAGCTGAGCACCACCAAAGGTAGAAGCCCCAGAGGCTTCAACCACGATCAACAGATGTTCTCACTGAAGATGGTTCTTTTTTTTGCATGTTCCCATTGGTCATCGACCATGTGGGAAGCCAATGACCTACATAATCATCATAACATCTTTTGATTATGTACCAGTTGGGAAGCCATACCTATTAAACATGGTGATTTATTCCGTAGCAAACTCTGAAATTATCGGAGGGTACCTGGAAAAAGGGGGATGTTTAGCAACCACAGTGGACATTTTCATACACTATTTTATACTGTGATATATATATATATTAATCATAACAATAATAATAATAACCATAACAATGAAATTAATAATGACAACAATAACAATGATAATGATAGTAACAATGGTAATATATCTATAATTTACAATTTGTAATGTTTATCTTCATATTTATAATCATACTTATAATCATATGTAAAATCATATGTATAATCATATGTATAATCATATTTTAACCATATTTATAATTATATATATATATATATACATTTATTTGTTTATTTGTTCATCTATATTTATATAAATGTATGTATATATATATATGTATGTATAACTATATGCATATGATAATATGTATTGTACCTATAGTATATCTAAAGAATATGCGTGATGGTCCCCTTCAGCAAATCCTTCCGAATCCCCGTCCAAGGCTCAAGGAGGCGGGGAGCTGGAAACCGCTCCTGCAAAGCTTGAAGGGCCATGCGGACGCTCGATGTCCATGAAGAAAATACACTGGTTGGGTGATTTAATGGGATTGAACTGAACCATCATCAACTATCATTTTTGTAGGGTTTTTATGAGGCTTAAACATGTTTTAACTATCAAAGATATAGATGATATAGTTGATAGATCATGCTTGATTGGTGAGTTGGTTGGGACTGATGCTAGCCAATTTATTGGGGATTGCGAGCCAACCCACTGTAAACCGCTTCAACCAACTATATAGTATTTCATGAGATGGGATAGGGGTATTTTAATTGTCTCACTTGATGGCAAGTTAAATGCTTTCAAATCAATCGATTCAAGGATATTTGGCGATACGACTTTGATAGATTTTGATGGGCAAAATCATGATTCATCAACGGATATTTAGGGGTTGCCTATTCTTGGACAAACAAACTTGCCACTTTCCCAATGAGAAGTCCTCCATTTGGGGGAATCCCTAGGGAAGTTGGTTTGCCACATCTGTGATGGATGCAATGTGGTAAGGTGAGCGACTTTACATGCCAGGACCCCTTGGCATCCCAACACACCTTCCGGAGATGGTTTTCGTGATAGCCAGGTTTCCTAGAATATCTACTTCATTGGAGGGAAGATTCTTCTGAAGATTACGTGAAAGATTCGGTGGGTTTCCAGAAGGATTTCCCAATCGAAGGCTGCCCGGCTGCCCGGGGCACGACTGAGGACTTGATCTACTCTGTTGTGAAGGCCATCCTCTCTGCACGTCGCTTGACGATATTTGACGATGGCGAGGCTGAAAGGTGTGGGCAAAACATGGCAAAGCATATCACATCCAGTTGTTTATGTAAGCACTTCAGCAAGACACGGACACAAGATTGTCTATATATATAATATCACTATGTCGATAATATAATATGACCCCAGCAGTTGAAACAAAGTCATTTACATTCATTTACCACGGATTTTCTGTTCCATCTTTTAAAGAGAGTAGTTGGAAATGGTGGCCCATCATCCAAATCATTCAACCAAGTCTCCGAGAAGTCCTTGTGCTGTGTATATTCAAAACCTCTATTGTTTGCCATGGAAAATCACCATTTTTAATAGGTAAACCATCTATAAATGGGCCATTTTGTTTGCTTTGCATTTGATACTATCTGGTTCTCATTTTATTTAGTGCTATAAAGATTATAAAGTATAGATAGTATAGTGGAGGCAGACGTAGGGCCCAAATCCTGTGTTCTAAATTGTTCTTCTCATGCTTTTTGCAAAGCGGCTAGTAGTGAAGTAGAACCAAGACAAGTAGCAAGTTCAATATCTGTATACAATGTATACATAAATATGTATAGATGTGTGTGTGTGTGTCCATGTGGGAACAATATCCAAGGTTAGTGAGATAGCAAAAATGCATTTCTTTGCTAAGGCAGATCCCCCCTCTAATATCATCATAGGCAATTTGCAATGCAGTTGTTTATTTGTATTGGTTGGGTTGGTGTCTTTTACAACCACAACTGCGGTTCAGGCTTTACAACATCATGGAAGATGCAAGCAATTGTACTTGCAACGGATATATCAAGGGGTGAAAGTTAACACTTCACAAGATTGTTTGTGTTTCAGCCTTTAGCTATCCAGCATAAACCAACGTGATTCAAATTGTTCATGAAGATCATCAAAAAGATTGGAATCAAAATAAATGTGAACGTAGATCTCGATGGGTATGCCAAAGTATGCAATAAAGTAAACATTCATCAGAAGTTGGAGGGGCATGCGGCGAATGACTCTTCTCATATGTGAATTGTTCCAACCTTGTTAATGCACATGCAATATGATAAATATGTAAGGTCACTTTTGCCCAATCATCATAAGACAACAAGGTAAAGTCAATCCCACATGCACGTAGCAGACATCAGCTTCAGCCCAACATAGCACAACCATTCGAGAACCTTAGAGTTTGAGGCAGGAACCGCTGGAAGAGATCCTTGTATACAGTATATATGTATATATGCTGCTCTTGTCAGTAGGGATCACCTTAATAAATTGAAAGTGCTACTGCCTCATATATGTTTGCCTCACAAACCAACAATGCAAGAAAACAAAGAGCCCAGAAATAGTGTCAAATATAAGCAGCACAGGCAAAGAATATATTATCTGGACATTACACACACGTCATCACACTTTTAGAATTACATAGGACTGTCATTTGAATACGCTTGCAGAATGGTGAGGCACTTCGTTAAAAAAGAGAACATATAACTATGTTATTTTTTTTCCAATCCCAGTAGTTTTATGTATCGGTGTGTCCATTGTCAAAACCCCATAGTATATTATCTTTAGAGAGACCGTTCAAAACTGGTTGGTGGTTTCAAGCATTTTATATTTTCCACAATATATGGGATAATCATTCCCATTGACTAATATTTTTCAAGATGGTTAAAACCACCAACCAGAAAATGTCTGATTCAAAGAAATCACTGTATGTTCCAGAAACGTTGTTTTCACGGGGCCCGTATTTAAAAACACCCTGAAGTCAATGGAGGTTTGGTTCGCTGGGAAAATCAACGGTTTCTGAAGGGTGGAAATCCACCAGCACGCCATGTTTGATTACCAAAGGGTATGCAGAGTATACCTGGAAACTTAGCTATAGCAGCTATATTTGATTATTAGATGCCCCTCCCCTTTTCACACAGACCTGCAAAGTGGAAACTGATAAGAAGCCCCGCTCATGGCAGGATTTCTTGACTGTTCATTTGGGGGAGGATAAAGCCTGTTTTCCACTGTGCCAATCATGAATTGTTGGACATTTTTAGTTGTACCCATATATATAATTATATATGTATGTATATATATATATATGTGTGTGTGTATATATGTATATAGTTTATTTATTTATTGAATGCTGATTTCGTGACTATAATGTGTAATGTCAACCTGGATTAGCAGCCCGGCCTGGGCTGCTCGATCAGGGGATACATTCTAAATAGCAAACTATCTCTATCAGGAGGTACGCCCATAATCAACAAGCCAGGGTTTGACAATGTGTCTTGGTTGATCTGCCGTGTGTTGTTGGATACACTGCAACTTTTCAGCAAATAATCCCATCTCCCTCATATCAAATAGCCTCCCAACGAAACCCTGGTGGAACATTGGATCTATGGTCCCATAGGAGGAATCGTGAATATTACATTGGCAACCTATCCCCATTTCAGGATGCATAAAGCAATATTGACCACCATTTTCGATAGTTTAACCATGTTTAACCATGTTTCACCCCATTTTATCTGAAGAGATCCTTAATTCAGGTAAGATCCCTTTGGTCATGGCGCTGAAAATTGGGAAAAAAACATCCTCTTCTGAAGCCATGTTGGCTTCAGACCTCAGCCGCGCCCAGCTGGCCCACCATCTTCCACCATCTTCAGATGGGTGACTGTCTGAAATTCGGGTCCCCGCTTAGATTCCGTGGTTCATCATTTCCCCTAACATATCCATTTGAGAAGTATACCCTCTGGTGAACTAACATAGCTATGGAAAATCACCATGCTATTAATGGGTAAATCCACTATTTCTATGGTCATTTTCAATAGCAAACTGTTAAATTACCAGAGGGTACCCCTAACTTCAGACCTAGATCATGTGTCTGTTCGAGGTCTGCCAGGGCTGGATCATGCCTGCTTCACCATCGCCATCTCTGCGTGTGCGAGTTGCTGGGCTAATGGCCTGCAGCCAAACATCCCTTGAATACCAGAGCTGGTAATTTAACATAGCTGTTGAAAATGGCCATTTATAGTGGTTTTTCCCATTAAAAATGGTGAATTTCCATAGTTATGTTAGTTTACCAGAGGGTATCCCCAGTTTCATGATGAAAAATCCATGGTGAAATAGTTGATATACCTACTGGAAATATTTGGACATGTGCATTTCCCATAGCTATGATTAGCTATGTTAGTTTACCAGAGGGCAAGAGCTAATATCCTGGCAATTGAACTCGGGAAAACTGGTGATATCATGGGAATTTACTGATTGAATCAATTTGAATCATGTAGCCTCTGGTAATTTGACGTTTTACTATAGGAGCCATGGCCCATTTATTGATGATTTACCTGGTAAAGATGATGATTTTCCATAGCGATGTTATTTGACCACAGGGTAACCCCGGATTTCGCTAAACGGTTGTTAATAGGAGGGTTTCTAAGTTCAATATAGTTCAATAGTAATCTGGAAAAGTGTTTTCGAGATAAGCTGCAATTAGTGGTCGGGGTTTACTTATCCGGGGTTGACATAGATAAATGGGAATGAGGAAATATTTTTGGAATAATTTATAAATCCATCCGACCAAAATGGTTTATAAAATTGGATGGGTCCAACAATAGGAAATTCGGCAACAATCGACGATAATATTCTTGGATTTCAGGGAAATATGGTGGGAATATATCATCCCCAATCGGTGTTGATGAATTGGGTTTGCCCGATGAACTTGGATGATGTGACATGCCCCCCACATGATGGTTGGCTGCTGGGATGGTTTGTGGCATTGTGTTTGCCAATGCTTGCCACAGTATTGGTCATTTTTAGGGGGGAAACTCATGGTAAAAAGGTGTCCCCCAGTGTGAAAAAACATCCGAATGGTAGTTGGGAAAACTGTTCCGTTTTTTGACCGCCAACAAGGATGTGCGGTCCAGCTTCTGATTAGTTGAAAAAAGTTCAGGTGTCATCCCAGGATTGACACTTATGATTTTTTGGGTGCTAAAGCGCTTCGATTCGGTACCATGATTGGTCTGTACCCAAATCTGTTGCTTTTGGGAAGCAATGGACGAGCCCCTATTTATAAAACATACGTGCATGGGCTGGGGCTTTCTCACATTTTCAAGTTTTCAGAACTTGTTCATCTCCCATTTCTTCATGATAGACATCATTTAAAAACAACCATGCATTATATAATATATATGTATATATATATATTTCCATTATTGAAATCTGCACCTTTTCGCCATGAAAATGTTGCAACCATGCCATCTTTTGCACCTCGGAGGTCAATGGGAATGGGCCTGTGACCTCTTTACGTCGATGACGAGGGCGGCGCTGGAGCCAAACAGCATCAGCCACGGAGCAGCGAGGGGATGTGGCGGTTTCACCATGGAAACCAATGGTTTGGTTTCCCATTATTTTACCCTCTGGTAAACTAATTACATAACTATGGAAAATCACCATTTTTAATGGGAAACTCCACTATAAATGGCCATTTTCAATAGCTATGTTAGTTTACCAGAGGGTAACCATTATTATCACTGGTGGGGTTTCAATGGTTATATGATGGTTATATGAAAAAAACCTCTGTTAATGATAGTTAATAGTGGTTAATAGTGGTTAATAGCGGTTAATAGGCTATAAACCAACAATGGGAATGGTGGGGTTTCAATGGTTATTATCACTGGTAGGGTTTAAATGGTTATATGATGGTTATATAATGGTTATATGATGGTTATATGATGGTCAATCATTGGCTTAATATCACTAGTGATCAATGGGTGATATGCTGGTTGGTGGTTTGGAACATGACTGGATATTTTCCATATATGGGACAATAGTACTTTAATCCTTATCATTGACGAAGTCATATTTTTCAAGATGGTTAAAACCACCAACCAGATTAATTCTTCCATGAAATATGGAGGTTTCCTGTAGATTTTTCCTTAAACCAATCCATTGACAGATATCCACAGATATTTCATGGTCCTATTATGTCCTACTGGTAATGTCCTTGTATGATATGGTGCTCATTGGGACCCATGGCTCATTTTAGGTTGCACAGCCAGAGAAATGATGACTAGCTTGGATGCACGGCAACCATACACTTACTGTAGGTAATCTTAGAATCTGGATATTTTATGATATGTTGCTGTTCTGGGCTTGCAATATATATACATATATATATATAGATACATACACACATACACACACACATATATATATATATACTGTATACATATATAATACATATACGAACATTGTATAGAAGAACACTCAGCAACTTGAATCGTCCCAAAATAACTCATCTATATAATTCTGTCTTCCTAAAAAAATCTTGGGTCCGAGGGGTCCTGTACATGCCACTTCTCACCGAAAGATGGCGGTTGATGATATCCAAAAACATTTGCAAGTTTCAACCGTGCTTGCTTGCGAGATGTCCACAGTGCTGGCAGTCCCAGTCCATTCAAGACATGAGACAGGAAAAGAAAGAGGCATGAGAAAACTTAGAACCTCGGAACAATCACATCAATCAGATCCATCAGATCAACCAGATCAATCAGATCAATCTGAATCCCATGAATGTGGCAAACCCTGGCTGCCATAAACCTACCATAACTGGGGATGGTTGAAACCCGCTAGGACCATATTGGGATGGTGCCCGATGGCGCCTATCCCTGGTGGTCCTGAGTCCATCAACGTCACAGGGACTTATGGTGATTTATATACCCACTATATAGATTAAACACCCACACACACACACACACACACGCACATAGACGCATATATATATACATATATATATATATATATATACATATATATATATATACATATATATACACAGTAATTATGTATATATATATATATATACTGTATATATATATATACACGCACATATTCATTTAAGCATTCCCAACCTTGGGATAGATGACCAGGGGCCCCGTTTTGCCGTGTTTTGACCATGACATATGGTGAAAATCTAAACCTTGAACCATAAATTTTGGAGCTTTGCACAGGTTCCTTTGGGAAGCAATCAATGTGAAATGTGAACTTCTTTTGATTGGCAAAAAAACAAGTTTTCAACTTGAATCATCCTGTTTGATGGTTAACGTATCATGTTTTGAAACTTAGGATCCAACATCATCCATCTTCGTGGTAGGTCCACTTCCAAATTACCCTTTCTTGTTGGTCAAAAGCCTTTTCCATCCCTTTTTGGTCGAAATTAGATCCCATACTGCATCCTTTATTTACATGTGGATATATATATATATATACATATAATTAACCCATTTCTAATCACAAGAATACCTCTAATATTTTTTCCAACAAGAATGGCCAGCAAAAACCACCGGGTTGCGTAGGCTACAATGCCCTGATCACATGTTGCGAGAAGGGTCGGCAATGGCACAGGGCCCTGGTGCTGCTTAGTGCCATGGGCGTCTCGACACTTTCATGGGATGTCCCGTTGAATTACCCTAGGGTAACGCAAAAAGATGGCGCAAAAGCCAGGAAATCCGGAAAATGATCTACTTTCATGGTGGCTTTTCCACATCGATGTTAGTTTACAGGAGGGTAAATGGGATTGATTTTTATCCCTTTAATAATATCCTTTAATGGGATTTAATGGGTATTTAATGGGATTTAATGGGTATTTAATGGGATTTAATGGGTATTTAATGGGATTTAATGTAGTAAAACAATGTAATTAAGCCAATAGGACACAGTTTCCATTTTTTGCCATAGAAGTGGCCTTATAAGAATCTAGCTACTTAATTAATACAACACTTCCCCCCTTGTATTGAACAGCCCCCAAGGAACTTGGATGTGCATCCCAGGAATCGTAAGTGGCTCATAACCACAATACTGGTACAAACAGTTATATATTGATATACAATTAATGATATATATATAAACATATATAATGATATACATATATACATATATACATATATACACACATATATTTATAGATATATTTTATGATGTATACATACATGATGATATATATATATATGTGTGTATATGTGTATGTACATAATACACATATATATAATATGATGTATGCATAAGGTATACCCAAGTTGTATGTGGTTTAATGTGGTACACCCTGGTTTCCATACACCCATTTACCAACCACATGGGGTTATGTTACATCATCCACTAGGGGTATACCGGTATATACCCAATAATAAACCTCTATTGGAAATTGTTTATGATTGGGTTGAGCGCATGAATACAACATAATACAACCCCATTCCCCTATTAAACACCCCCATTGTATGGTCCGATATTTGTGCAAATCATCTAAACCGTTGTTTCGAGTTTCAGGGGCATGTTTAACATGAGGAAGGAGGGATTGGTAAACCCATGTGAACCCAACAAGAAACAATTCCCAATTTTTGTCATAAATGGTTGGATTTATAATCCGCAAATGGTAGGTTGATGGCAGCCAGGGTTTGCCACAGCATTTCTTTTACTATCAGTTTGGGTTAACCCAACCAGTCTCTTGCTTGGCAGGTATATGGCATGGATTGGCCGTGTTTTCAGGACATTTTTTCGCGGTGAGGATATGATGACTTAAGTCATTTAAGCCCTTTCTGCCGATGTCAGCACATCTACCGTATGACTAAACATGTGTAAACATGCGGATTCTCATCATGCCATGCCGAAAATTCACTCATTTTTGGCAGTGTTGCCGAGATTTCTCATGGCACTGAGACTAGGTGACAACGCAGATGTCTTCAGTTTCAGCGCCGCCATCAGTGCATGCGAGAAGTGCGGCCACTGGCCCCTTGGGCGGCTAGCTGCGCTCTGAAGAAATTGGGTTCTATTTAGCAATGAATCCAACAATCCTGCTGAAAATTATTGGATCTATTCATTTTGGGGCCCTTGTTGGAATTTCCTAAGATCAGGGAATTTTTTTTTGGTTCACAGAGAAACTCTCTGTCATGTTGTGTTCCAACTTGGATGTCTTTTCATTTGCATCTGCACATGGACAAGTTTTCCGCAGATGTCCTCACAAGCTTTCAGCAGCAGCTCTGGCAGACGTGAGTCCAACAGAAATTGCATGATTGAATCTGAACCTGCACCATAGTCAGTACAGCATAGAGGGAATGAATGTGTCGGAACAATTCTTGGGTCGATATTGGATTTTTAGGGTGTTAACAGTGTTAACGGTTTAGATGAACCTCCACAAAAATCGCAGCAATAGATCTTTTCCCTGAGGCAAATCGCATTGCAGCTCTTTGAAAACATGGCAACTGCCAGAGTGACAGCTGACGAGATTGGCTCCATGTCAACGCGTAAAGTTCATGTCACGTGGGTGGCTTGTGTGGGAGAATCTGCCAGGGAGCTAGGTTTTGACCCTCACCAGACATATCCAAAGATTAGGTTAGTTTCGGAATCTAATTCGTGGACCAGGACCATGTGAGACCTTCTATGGGTTCTTGAAAGCGGATGGTTTTCGCATCTTCCCCTGTCGAATATGAGCACCCAAAACATTTGCCATTCTGTAGGCCTTCACTATACTCACTGTGAGTGATGCTCATAAGCTTCACATGGAAATGACCCTGCAGGCCCTACTTGACCTTCAGAGCTAAGGAGGCCTTGAATTTCTAGGAACCCCCTATGATGGTACCCCTATTCCCATAAGGTCCCCATACTATTGGGGCTTCTTATCGGAGTAGGAGATAGTAGGAGGCTGGAATGGGAATGGGGGTCCCTCATTGGAGGTCCTTATAGATTCCATCAATACTTTCTTAATTTCAGAGACTATGCAGCCTTACGCCGCTTGCTTCAGACTGACATGAGGTCAAACCAAAATGACATTCATGTGGCTGATGGGAGTGCTATCTTTTTTTCTCGAAAATCAATCCACCCAATGTTGCATATAGATGCAGTAACCAATAAAAATAGTAATGTAAATAATTTGTAAATAACAATGATAGGACTCATGAGGTCCAACCCCCAAGACTTCTTCGCATGACTTGTGCAGAATGAAGCGATGTGACATACGTTCTTCGCTTGGAAGTTCCCATCTCATGATGAAAGCTTGCACGGCCATCACGGCACCAAGGTTTTAATGCAGCAATCAGTGCATGTGAGAAAGGAGGGTGGCTCACTTTGTTACTATTTTCATGGTCTTTGGCTATGACAACCTCCCCTGTTTTTGTTGCTCCCCAGACCTGGGGAATGTGCTAAGTGGCGGCCCTTAAGGCAGTGGCCGAGCGCGGCACAGTTGCTCCAGCGGATGGCGATACGTCGTTGCCTGGCCAGCGTGGTCAGCTTCAGTGCGGCGATCAGCGCGTGCGCCTGGTTTGACCCTGGGTTTTTTTCTTCCAAAAACTCGCAGTTTTTAACTGGAAATTCCAGTTGCTATGTTCAAAATCCCTGCTTGATGATAGGGAGTTTATATATGTTTATATAATAATTATATATATATTATATTCAGGATTATCGGATTATCATCATCACTTGTAGGAATGCCGTTCTTAACCAACTGGTATAAAGGGGTGTCAGAGGGTTTTGGACACTGCTCAAATGGGGGTTTGACATGGTTTGACCATCAAACATAGGGGCAGACATAACACTTATGGCGAATATCTTGGCAGAAGGCAGTGGGGAGAGAGAGAGAGAGAGAGAGTCAGATCTTTAGATATATATATATATAATATAACTGGGGAAGCGAGCTGGATGGGTAGTTTTTTTTTTTTAAATATATATATTTCATATACACTTTAATCTTTTGGTACAAACGGAGGGGTATCCTTACCAACGGATGCTATGAAGCAGTCGTCATGGATTGCAATTCAACCCCCGTAATATTTAAAGACCCCGATCATGTGCTCCAAAATGATAGATCTAATAAACCTAGGCTTCGGTTGAGGGTATATATGATTATATGACATTATTATATATACATTATTACATGCCTATAATCTTGTTGTAGGTGAAAGGGATTGTTCATTACGCCATGTTAAAGGCCATGTGTTCTTTTTTGGGGGGGTGAGGGGTGAGGCTAATTTTCTGAGCTTGGGGCCATACATGGACCCAACATAATACAAGGACTGGTCGCATGGTCGCATGGTGGGGGAAGAACCGATTGTGGAAAGCGGATCTGAATCCATTTGAAGCATTTTTAAAAAAACAGCCGTGGAGTTAAAAAAACGAAGGAGTTTCAGCACTTTTTTCAGCACTTTTTCAGCAGATTCCAGGTCGGCAATTCCGCTTCCTTTCAGTTCCCCTTGGGCGATGTTGTGAGGTGCGACGGAATGGCTGGCAGCACTGTGCATGTTGGAATCGATGGAATCCACGCAGGCCGATGAATCGATGAAGCCTGCGGCTAGGAGAGAAAGGCTATGGAGAATCAGCATTAAACAAGTAGGTAAACTTTATGGTAAACATGAATCTTATGATATGGATATTGATATGGTAAATCCAAGCTATAGATATCTATAAGCTATTTTAGCTGTGAAATGATCGGAGGGTATATAAACGAACTGATGGTTATGAACTGCATGTTCATCCAGTTCATCCCAGGATTCGGTTCAACCGGTAGTATCCAGCTGATGTATCCAGCCATGGCCGCCCAATGATGACATCCCATGGAACAGTTGGTTGATGTGTTTGGCATCTCCCTAAATGTGATACCCAAGTCCCACTGATCCATGTTTGGACTTAAATTGATGTGTAGTTTTCCTGCAATGAAAAAAATTGGCAAATCCAAATCCAAAAAAGGTTTCGACTGGCGCTGTTTTGTTCACAGGGCCCCTAGCTCAGGTTAAAAGCAATGAAGTCACCTTCAATGCCACCCGGCGGCAGTGGCCGGGTTTACCAGCTGATCTGAGCACCGAAAGCTTTGTTTGAAGGTTGAAGGGACACTCTACAGCAAACATCTTTATTATTCTTCATTTAAATGTAAGAACCATGGTTTCCTGTAAAATGTGCCTTGAACTAATCCACTGACTGTCTTCTTACCCTCTTCTTCTTCTTCTTCTGTTTTTAAAAAGTCGATGGTCCTTGTCCTTGCTGTTGCTCCCATTGTTGCTACTGCTGCTGGTGTTGTTGTTACTGTTGTTGCCGTTGGTGCTTTTGCTGTTGCTTTACACTTAGAGACTCATTTAATGACAGCAAATAAATATACAATCATGTGCACATTGCCTTTTCAGGTACCTAAACTGGAGCTACTGTACCATATAAAGCCATATTTTTTTGGGACATCCCCTTACACATCTCATGTACATCATCTGTGAATTTCTGTACCATGGCCGCGCCCGAGGCCCTGCTTAATTGCTGCGAGAAGTCCTGGCAACACGGGCTCAGCATCGCGGACATGCGACAGCTGCAGCTGCTGCCGGATGTCGCAATCTGGTGGCGAAACGGATTATATAGACTGTGCTCGTCTAGCAGCCAAATATGATGATCATGATGACCCCAACCATAGTTATGACCTAGGGATAGGTCAACCGATTGGGATATGTCCCAGTTTCAAACCATCAATCCAAGGCTAATCATTACCCTCTGGTAATTCAACAGTTTGCTATTGAACATGGCCTTAGAAATAGTTGATTTACGCATTAAAAATGGTGATCTTCCATAGTTTTTTGTATGTTTACCAGAGGGTAATGTGGGATTCACAAAAGATGCCATAGTCATCATCCCAAAGTTTAAGGTGAAATTGGGTATAGCACGGTATAGCCATATTGGGATAAACGGATTTTGAAGAAATACTGGTGCTTAGTAGGGAATGGGGAAATGATCTATAGATATCTATGGTAGCTATATGTAGCTATTAACCATCATACCAGCAACCCCCATTCCCTACGTTTAGCACCAGTAACCTGGGGGGAATCGACACTTAATCCTGGCGATGAACGGAGACTTTTGGCAGCCAAGAATGTGTGGCATGTAAAGGCGTTTTTTTTTTAATCTACACAAAAAAAAAAGTTTAGATACTGGATGGAGTGTAGCCATGTAGATATTTTGTTGTCTGGAACCTTGAATCTAAACATATAACTCATAGAACCAAATATGACTGAGGATTTATTAACATAAATTGGCCCGGCCGCATAATGTTCGTTTTATATATATATATAGGTTTTTGGCCTCAATCATGTAAGGTTTACGGGGTCAAAATGGGTTTAATGCAATGGACCAAACTGGTTAGCACCATCTTAGTGGACTACAGAGATTACATTTATAGATCCAAGAGATTCCAAGAGCAGCAGAGATGTGGATTTACAGTCAGCCACATGGTAATTTTCTGATGAGGTTTAGGGATGAAAGGTTGGCATTTCTTCAGGAAACACATGAACTGTTGGGGACCGAAATCTGTTATGTCCTAGTGGGAGTGCTGCGTTTGAAGATGTGACAATATACCCGAAGCAATGCAATTGCTTCTTGGTGCCTAAAATTGACGTCCTACAAGCTCTGCTCTTGGCACAATCAAGAGGAGAATACCTTGCCATGGTCCCAACCCTGCTATTGTGCAGAAAGAGATGTGGAATCGGCCCAGATGCCTCTCACCTAAAGGGCACCTACTACTCTGGATTTGTTACTCCAATGAACAGGTGTGCCCGTCGGCTGAACAATATGACAATGCCATGTTAGCCACGCGGGATTTCTGGTTTGCTTACCCTACCCCGTATGATGCCGATTGGACAAGAACTCTGCGAGGATACCAGCAGCGCACGCAAAGTTGGCCCAACATTTCACCGCCTGAAGACAATGACTACCTACAACACATCTTGCATACCAAAGATAAAAAACGCATCTTCTCCGTACTTAGGGAGCCTGCCTTCAATCGGTAGGTTTTGGGATGACAGGTTTGGCTAAGTCGGTTGGATCAAACAAGTGGGTTGGATCAAGGAAAAAGATCATCAAACCAGATCGTAGTTGGTGGAAAACAAACCAGTCGTGTTAGTAAAGCAATATATAGTGTTTACCATCCCAAAATGTACCAGACATGGGATGAAATGGGTGGATTTAAGGGACGTGTCTATATAAATATATATCTATATATATATATATGCTTTACTAATCTTTACTGTTACATATTACTATTACTAATGCCATCATCCGTTGCGTGCGCCGTTGCGTCAGGTCACTTTGAGCACAAGCCTCTCGACCCGTTTCGGTCAATGGCCTCGGGCTCTCAGCAGGTTCCGGCACCTGGGCAGCCAAGATGGGCCTAGCATTGTTTACTATGGCATAGCTATGGTTTATATTGGTTCATGGTAGATATAACTATAGTTAATGGATGGTAATGGGGTTTAAAACTGCATGTGCATATTGTATATATATATATGGGTGTGTGTATAAATTTAACAATGTTTCTGGGCAAATTATAACGACCTCACTGCGACCGAAGCCTGGAATCATGGTTAGTAAATATAGGGAATCATCCCAAACTGGCCGCTAGTTTCAGGTCAGTGAATTACTATTCTTTGCCCAGATGTTTAAAAAGTTTATAGGAAATCTATAGGACATTTATGGGGTTTAAATATCTACATGCACTGGTTCAAGTTAAGATTGAAACCGGAAACCCATGGAAACCCATGGAAACCCATGGAAACCCATGGAAACCCTCATATTTCATGGGAATACAATGGGAATATAGTGGGGATGTAATCTGGTTGAATTATTATGACCTCACATCGCGACGTCCCTGGAATAAAGTTAGTCAGTAAGGGGAATGATCCCAATATCCTTATTTCATGATAATTGGCCTCGTGGTTTTATATGTTGTTTCTCCTTTTTTCCTAGGTTTTTGTTGATTTTTCACAATTTTATACAATTTGATCTTGCGCCGCTATTTATGTTTTAAATGCGAATATGCCCTTTAAAATTATATGGGGTGGGGTTGAGGTGGGGTGGGGTGGGATGTTAACGTTCAATTGAACTTGATTCCAATGTTGATGCTGCGGTGCTGATGGGATTTGAGGATGGCATGATACGGTGTTGAGGACGGTGGTGAGAAGGGGGTTATATAAATTTTTCGAAAGTCCGATGTGTTGCTGCTCATTTGCTGCTCATATGTCTTTATTACATGCATTCCTTTTGGCAATATCGGTGAAGAAACAAAACGAGACGATACCACATGCATTGCCTTTCGTGCAGATGTGAATTTACCCGAATCGCCACCAGTCCTCAGTTTTCATAGTTTTCTTGGTTCAGATATCGTTTCCATGTTCTCTGCTGCTACATGCCGTTCTGCCACTTTGCTTGTGGAAATTGCATGAAATTGCCAAACTGGCTTAAGATGATACGGTGAGGTGTAGGCGCAGCTTTGCCGGTGCCCTCAATCTGAATCCCCAAATGCAATTACGACGCAATTACGACGCAAAACCCCAAGGCTCAATACCCGCGCGTGACCAAAAAATTCAGGCTAGTGATTTTTTTTACCAGTTGCCCATGAATCGGACCTCTGTGGGGGAAAACCATGGGAAGAAACCATGATTTTTTGATGAACCAGTTCGGACCCTTTCACCCAGTGATATTCCACTGTACCACCCAGCGAAAACCCCAAGGGATCGCCGATGAACCTGAAGGGATCACGTGTCGAAAAAAATGCCTCACGTGTCGAAGCGCTGAACTTTTTGAAGACAGACGTCTTTATGTATTTTTATATGTTTATTTCGATATTTGCTTAATTTATCTTAATTTACTGATCTTAATTCTTCATTCTTCCTTCTTGCTTTGTTTCTTTCTTTCTCTGTGTCTCTCTCTCTGTTCTTTCCCGCACGCTCATCATTGAATTAATGTTGCCAGACCCCTCTCCAATTCCAGGGTCATCCCATTATGTTTTCAATCCAGGTTGGAGTTAGTTGGAGTTGTTTTATTGGATGTGCACTCCAGTTTTGTACGTGGATAATAACCTATACAGCCTATACATCACTGATTAACTGGCTATATCCCAGCTACAACACATGAACTGGCTATAAGATGCTATAGTTCGCCCATTTTGACAATTGAATATGGTGCAAACATGTTGGATGGAGAATCATGTGGAAGCCGGAAACGATGGTGCCAAAGACGATTTTACATGATTTACCCTCTGGTTATTCAACATAGCCATGGAAAATCACCATGTTTGATAGGTAAACCTCTATAAATGGGCCATTTTCCATGGCTATGTTAAATAACCAGAGGGTACTACTTTCTCATATGGCCTTTGAAGGGGTTCCATAATGTACCGACGCAACGTTCCCTTGAAATCACCATTTTGGTTATATCAATGTATATATTTACATTATTATGGTTGTTTTCCATAAATGGAGTTACCTCCGAATGGATGGTTTTCAATGGAAACTCCTATTCAAAATGGATGATTTGGGTAGTTCCATCCATGTTTAAATTTCAAATCACCATTTTGGTTGTATCAAAATATATATATATTATTCATGATAATTCCATATTAAAATTCAAGGGTGTCATGTGATTCAGTGCCGCATCGTGCCACCTCCAAATGAGGAGTTTTTCCGCGACCTCGCTCAACCTGGTGACTTTCAATGCCATGATCCATACCTGCGAGTCTTCATGGCCCTTGGCGCTGGAGCTCTTTACCGAATTGGGTGACTTGCTGTGGGAAAGGGCCAGGTCCCACATGAAAAAGGGGGGATTTTGACATGTTGGAAATGAACATATGTGGTGATTTTAAGGTAGTTCACCCAGAAATATGAATTTTGACCGGAAAATTTGGTATGTAACAAGCATAACAAACCAAAAAGTAGGGATTTGACATGATTTTGCTGACGCATGCGCAGGGGATTTCGTAAACATTGGGATTATCTATTGTCACGAAAAATGGCGATTTGACATTAGAAATAGAGATTCAACCTCGAAAACGCAGGGATTGTACCGCCAAACAATTGGGATTCAACCTTGAAAAGACTGGGATTTTTACCACCCAGAAATTGGGATTCAACCTTGAAAACATAACCCAAAAATTGAGATTCGACCTTGAGAACACTGAGAGTTCAGAAAGAAAAAACTAGAACTCAACATGATTCAGCCAACTAACATTCTTGAGACCTTTGGAAAGATTAAGGGCCCAAGACCAACCCAAAGTTTGTTTGCAATATTTTCGCTTGCTCGAGTTTTTGAAACGCTGTTGCGAAACATGTGGCACCATTATGCTTCATTGCTGGTTTGAAAGGATGGTGCATGTTGAATGTCCAGAAAAATATCGTGGCGACCGACTTGGGTGCCATTTGCAAATCTCGGTATGGTGAATTGTTTTTGTTTCCTGCTGGGCCTTTCCTTATGATTTTAAGCCTCCAGTGATCGGGGCAATGTTGAAATTGACTTTAAAAAGTAATGGAAATGGTATATAATAATGACAGATAAAACTATATTGATCATTCCAATAAGTTGGTGATACTGAGAGGACCGTAACAAAGTGAGCGATTTCCCAATGAAAAAAGGGCATCTCCCCACTCCTTTGTTGAACCGTAGGCAGCCCCGACGTCGTAAGCTTCGGCAGCGTGGCAGCGGCGCTGTGCAGAGGGGCTAAATTGAAGGAAGCGGTGCAGTTGATGAAGCAGATGACAGCGGCAGATCTGAGAATTGACACTTGGTATCACTTGGTTCGGATGTGCCCCATAGTTAGCTATAAGTTGGTTTATAACTCCCATAACTATGGTTTATAGGTGATATAACTATAGCTAATGGGGTTAGTTTATACACCAATTTATATCTAGTGGGCACCATCTTGTATCACTTGGTTCGGATGTGAAGGGTTCTCCATCCATTTACCCAAGATGCAGAAGAGATCAGAATACAGTATGATCAATTATTATCTGAGTTCGATTTTTTGCTGTTCTTTTTTTTGTGGGGGGGGAGGTTTGCTATATGTTCCGGCGATTTTCTGGGTATGTTTTGGGTGAACTGGTGAAAAACATCGGTTGTTTCAAGATTCGGACCCCCAAAACCCAAGGATTTAATCATTGTTCCGAAGAGACTTGCTTTGTCTCGAGGTATTCCCCCGAGACAACCCATGCGGGATGAGGTGACGATTAGTTATTGATAGTTATTGAGATCGGCCAGAACTTGTGGTGAACGTTGATTTTTGATCTACGACTTCAACTTTGGAAAACCCTGCTTGGCAATTGAACAGTGTATGCCTTGACATGCAAAGAGCTGACCCGGGAAATGAAGATTTACAGTGGTGAAGTTTGTTGGGGTAACACCCTGATCTTGAACTTGGACATGGTTTGCTGTTTGAGATGTAGGGTTACTATGTCCCTTGTGAAATCATAGATGGAACGTGGGGCGGTTTCAGATGGCCAATGAGCCCAAACACGGCCTATGACATACTTTTGGATGAATTTGATCATGACCAAAATTTGTGAGTCACTTTGGACTGGGAATTGTCAGGTGAGTCATCCCAGCTGGCCGCAAGTTGTGTTTCAACCGGGAACCCGAAAGGTGCCCCGATGTACCGAGGATTTGGTCAGCTTCAATGCTTCGATGACTTCATGTCAAGCCGTAGGACGCTGGCAGGAGGCACGGCTTGGAGATCGCTGGAGTAACAAAGTTTGGCCTCGGGTGAAACGTAGATATGGATAGATATGGGCTTTCCATGGCCCATAGAAAAGATTGTGATGATTTACCGTTGTAAAACAAATTGTGATTTTCCATCGCCGCGTTATATTGACAGATGGTAGTAAGCCCTGGTTTTTTGACTGCGGGTGGTTCCCTCCAGATAGTGATCATGTGCTACCTTTTCATGATATCCCGATGATATCCCCTCATGTTTTTCGGCCTACGGTTATTATTTACCAACCATGTGCTAGAAAATCCACCAGCTTTTTGCCCAGCTCCTTCGGCAGTGTCGCGGTCTCAGGCCTTCTTCTTAGTGGATTTCATGTTGCAGATCGAAATCTCGCCAGAGCCTTGCCGGCCATGGACAGGATGGGGTTCATTTTGGCACCCAATATACACATCAAAACGAATATATATATATATATATACATAACACATACATACACACACACATATATATATATATATTAAAATATTATATACAACTATTGTAAAACTCAATGTAGTTTCCTATTTGCGTGTATCGTCTTTCTCATTATAGCCAATCTACTATTAAATGCATGGATGGTGTGAGAACATTTGAAGCTCAAAGGGGCCCCAATGTCCAGCTGATTCCAGCTGGAAACCTTGGACATCCCTGGTGGAATGTATGGAACATTTTATCGTTTTGGAGGTGCTGCAAAAAATGGTGTCCCCGGAGAAAATGAGGGTATTTGAAGGCATCTCTGGATTTTGTGGTATCGGACAGTATCGGAAACTGCCAGTCTGACAATCGTATTGGATTTTTGATGTATCTGTCATAGCAGCAACATGTGTGATCATGAGACCATTTAGCATGTCACATCCTTCCAGTGGTGAGTTCCTGCTGGTCTGACAGCTCGAGGAGGGTCATGCGCATAGGAAAATCGACTTGAGCACTGCCGTAGGTGATGGCATTCTGATCCAGGCTCCGTTTGATAGTGGCATTGGTAGCGACCATCCTGGTGTGCTTCATCTACGAGGTGCTCACCGAGGGGTTGCGCCATGAGCAGCCTTAACTTCGATTCTGATGTTCCTCTCCACTATGGATCCTCAGATGGCGATGAGAGTTTTGGCGCTTCAGCCTCCGAAGATGCAGCCGCCGACGGTGGCGCAACTTCTGCTCCAGCTGAACCAGCTGGCGAACCTGCAGCAAATGGTGGAGCTGATGCTTCTCCCAGGTCCTCAAGGTCTAGGCCTCGTGGTTCACGTGGTTCTGGTGCTTCAAGGGCCTCGAGACGAAGCCAGCCTCGTGGTGGACCGAAGTGGAGGTCGGGGGCCATACCTCCGGCACCTGTGTTTGAAGGTGATGTGGAGGCAGATCCGTACTGCCTGAGACATTACAAGAAGAAGTTGCATAGATGGTGCCTCATAACCAAGGACTTCCTGCCTCCCAATGAACAAGCGCTTAGGGCGCGTGAGCAGTTGCGTGGTGAAGCTGAATTGGAACTGGCAGAGACTGAGGACGACCGCTACAATGTGGCCAATGGCATTGAGGTGCTCCTGGGTGATCTTGAGGAGTCATTTGGGGAGCGCCCATTGTTTAGACAGGGCGGCGTCATCAGGGAGTTTGAGAGCATCGGCAGAATCCAAGGGGAAAGTGTGACCGCATTTGTGCGGAGATTCCGCTTGCTGGAAAGGCGTTTGCGGGACAACAAGGTGCCAGAGTACCCCGAGGAGAGCCGAGTCATCAAGCTCTTGGATGGGCTTAGACTGGATGAAAGATCTACTTCAGCTTTGCTTTTGGCGGCAGGCAACCAGTACCGAATGAGAGCTGTGCTGGATGCCATCAAAATTCAATACCCTGCTGGAGTTTCAATCACAGGGTTGCCACTCAAGCGTGGTGCAGCTGCTCCATACAAGCGTGTGCACAAGTCTGGCAAAGGTCGTAGGGCCTGGCACACCACTGTGGATGAAGAGGTGACTGAGTATGACCAGACCGAGACGTTTGAGTATGAGGCCTGGGAAGCAGATGCCAAAACTGTAGTTGAGCCCGAAGCTGAGTACGATGATGTCGTCTATGATGAGGAGGACGACAACTATGAAACAACTGGACAAGAGCCAGCTGCCGAAGAAGGTGCTGATGCTGGTGCCCATGACACCACTGCCGACAGTTTGTCTGCAGTTGTGGAAGCCTTGACGGTGACCAGCAAGAGACTTGCCGAGCTGACTAAGTCACGTGGCTATTACCAGGACAAAGGCAAGGGCAAGCCTGGTGGTGGCAAGCCTTCCAAAGGAAAGGGCAAGGGCAAGTCGAAAGACACCAAGGGCAAGAGCAAAGGCAAAGGAAAAGGAAAGCCAAGTCCTACACCCAGCAAGGGTAACTTGGCTCACCAGAAGAAGGCTCTAGACGAGTCTTTGTGCTTGGGCTGCCTATCTCCTGGACATTGGCTTCGAGATTGTCCACATGCCAACACCTACACAGCCCAGTTGACATCGGCTGGCAGTGTGTTGGATGCCGAAGGCAACATTGTGGACCACTCAAGCTGGATGGTCACCTGCACACCATCCGTTTGAGCTCATGCAGTGGCGGAGGAAAAAGAGCTCATCATGCCTGCAGATGACGGATTTCAGGACAAGATCGATGTTTTTGAGAATTTCATGGTCCCTAGCTTTGACAAAGCCCCTGAATCCTATGCAGCTGATGTCAAGATTGCAGTTTTTGATTCCAACAAAGCTTTTGATTCCATGGCCACTTTTGCGGATGAGCCGGTTTTTGTAGGTGACATCACTTCCCAGAATGTCTTGGTGGTAAACAATAACCAGGTAGCCAACAACAACCTTGAAGATGATGCGGTTTTGTTTCCTCTCTTTGGCAACCCCCAAATTCTTTTGCAGAACGTTTCAAGGGTCGAAGGGGGCATCATGATAGCTGACACAGGATGCCAACGTCAAGTAGCTGGAAGGAAATGGCATGTTGCTCAACAGAAAAACATCCAGCCCCTCAAAGCGGTTTCCTTTGAAGATGCCTGTCATTTTAGCTTTGGCCCGCACGAAGGCACACCAGCTTCGGCGAGATACGCCTACCCTGCCGGCTTGGGAGGTGCCGCAGTGACGTTGGGTGTCAGTCAAGTTGATGTTGATGCACCAGCACTTTTTTCAAGACCTGCTTTTGAAACTTTGGGGGCCATTCCAGACATTTGCAAAGGAGTCATGTATTACCAAGCATTGAACTGCACATCAAAGTTGTTTTTGGCGTTTGGACATTTGGCAATTCGAGTGGATGAATGGCCGGATGAAAGTTTTCCATGGCCCATGCAGTTTGACCATGATCAGATCCCTGACGTCTGGATTCCACAGAGTTCTGAAGCAACTGTTCTCAAGGCTGTCAAGCTCCAACCAGCCAAAGAACCAATTCGAAGGCCGCCGCATGCCGACATCGACCACGGCAGCTCCGAGATGGCTGAGCAACTGGAGGTTTCTCATGATGAACTTCTTGGAGCTTCTCTACAATGTGAAGCAGATGGTCTTGATGTACGCGGCCACGGCCATGAAACCTCGTCTGAAGGATGCCATGCTGGACACATACCTCCCAGCTCAGACTGCCACGACAATGCTGAAGACCGTCACAGCAGCACAGATGCAGAAGAATCAGCAGGTGGCATACCCCAACGACCCGGCGAGGTGCGATCATCCTCTTGGGCTTCGAAGCTATGGCGCTGGGGGCAGGGTCATCAAGATCTGCGACCAATGTGGAGGCCGGTGGATGGTGAACACCGACAAGGACAAGTCCCTGGTGCAGTGCCAACCAAAAGCTTCGCCTACGGCAAAGACACCTTTGGGCCTTCCAAAGGGGATCGACCTCAAGACTGGGTATGCCCTTCACCCCGAAGATCTGGGGCGCTATCGTCTTCAACAACAGCAGCAACAACCATCCAGCCCACCGACCAGCCGAACAAGCCAGACAGGTCACACGGCGTCGCGATCAAGGGTGTCAGCAAGTTCCTTGGTTGGCTCGCGACCATTGCCGTCGCCTTCAATGAGTCAGGCCAGGGCCAAGAACCGACCTGCAGCAGTGCCTACATCGGCCAGACTCACCGAGCAGAACCTGGGGTTGTTGGAGGAGGACGATGTGAGCATGGCCAGCTGGGAGCAGCCAGCACCGAGTTTGGCTTACTCACCCAGCATGGCGGATCCAGAACAAGAGCCTTCAGCTCGCCGGGGCGAGGTCATGTGGCAGAGCCGTCGTCGAAGCCGCCAGGCGGAGGTTCCTTTGCAAGAGGAGCTGACACTGGGAGAGCACGGCGAGCATCTATGGCAGACAAATCCCATCCTCCTGACAGATGGGGAGAACTTCGACGAGGCAGAGGAGGAAGAGGCCGAAGCTTAGATGGGCTTCGACTTCATGACAAAGTATGCCAACACGATGGTGATCGACCTCATTCTGCAGAACACCAACATGAACCTTTGGGGCCCAATGCGCTTCGAGGATCTGCAGATGAACCATTGCTCAAAGAAGACCGCGGGTGGCAACAACTCCGCTCTGGGCAACAGAAACGTCTCCTTGGGACTATAAGGTCTTTGCGCAAGTGCTTGACCGTGGAGACGCAACTATATGCACAACAAGCTGCCCGAGCACGAGCAATGAGGCGTCACCGTTGTGACTTGTTGGAGGTCTATGGTGGTTTTGCCAACATCTCCATTGAGGGGATCAAGCAGGGTCTGAAGGTGGCACAGCCCATCGACAAGGTGCACGGTGTGGCCATTGAGACCAAGGCGGACCATGAACATCTTCGACAACTTCTACGGCGACATCGGCCTTTCCTGACGGTGTGGGAGATCAGATGTGACCCCTGGTCGCACATCCAGCACTTGAACTACACGGCCGAACAACTTGAAGAGCTACGCGCCCAACATCGCCTTGATTTGGAGGAGATGGCCAAGACCATTTGCGAGCTCTATGAATTGGGATGCCATTTTCTTTTGGAAAACCCCTGGGGCACGGAGTTTTGGAAACAACTGGAACTACAGCCTGTTCTTCGTCTTCCTGGTGTGGAGTTGAAGCGCGGCTCTATGTGCAACTTCGGCCTCAGAGGACATGATGGCTATCTCCTGAAGAAGGACACCGGCTGGTGCAGCGATCTCCCGATGGTGTTAGCTGCAGTGGCTGTTCCATGTCCAGGTTCTCACGAACATGAAGAATGCCTGGGCACCAATGCGAAGCGGGCTCAGATCTACACCAAGAAGCTTGCCCGCGCTGTGGTTGGCGCACTTTTGCAGGAGCTACAGCTTCGTGGTGATGAGCGCTTCTACAAGCATGTGGAGACCTACGCTCAATGGACTACATCGACAACATCTTCAACTTTGACCTCTCCAACAACATTTTCAACTTTGACATCATCAACCTCTTCATCATCACCCTCAACATTGCCATCGCCTTCAACATCGACTTCATCTTCAACCTTGACTACTTTGTCAACATGGATGTCCACTACGGAATGCTCCGTGTGGTTTGCAGATATCCGCCAAGATGTTGAGTCTTGGAGGCCTCTTTTGAAAGAAGCTGCGGATCGTCTCCACAACAAGGTTCAGACCGCAGCGACTGTCAAAGAGGACACAGCCTTCTATGAACAAGTTCAACAGCTTGTGCCCTGGAAGATGAAGCTGGTGCAGATTGCAAGGGCGCCCAAGGTGAGACGCCTACCTTTGCAGTTGATGACGCGTGAAGCTGTCACGCATCGTGCTGCGGTTTTGCAGCACAACAACGGCCAGATTCGTTTGGAGTCAGAGGCCATTGTGGATGTCAAGGATGCCCCGGGTGCCAAGTTCGACACTCCAGTGTCGTATGCAATCTTCATCTATGGCGAAGCTCCGAGCACGAGCTACAACCCTGAGGAGGACCTGAAGCCTGAAGAGATCAAGGCGAAGAAACCTGAGGCAATAGCTTCAGCTGACGCTCCAGCGTCTGCCTTGGAGCCAGAGGAGCAGTGGTTTCAACATCAACCTGGAGCCAGAGATGTGACGTTCCCTGGCCTCAAGGGTGTGCCGCGTTGGATGCTTTCTGTGCTCACTAGAGTTCATGTGAACTTGGGGCACCCTGGAACAGAAGCTTTGGTGCGACACCTTGCACAAGCAGGCGCCAGCGGTGAGGCGTTGTTGGCTGCCAAACACCTTCACTGCCAGATTTGTGCCCGCACCAAGCCACCAACAACAGCAAGACCGGCCAAGGTTTTCCAGGCCAAAAGGTTCAATGATCGTTTGATGATGGATTTGATTTTTGTGCGGGACGTGACCAGCCAGATGCACACGTTCCTGTCTCAAGTTGATGATGGCACCACCTATCAGGTCGTGGACTTGCTGGCCAACCGAACTTCTGAAGAAGTTACCAAAGTTCTTGCACGTGGCTGGTTCAAGTACTTTGGGTTCCCTGACCAGGCTTTGCTGGATGCTGAAGGGGCAATGAGAGGCTGGGATGTTGAACAATACTTGGCCCAGGCTGGAGTGCAGGTACGTTTTGTACCACCAGATGCCCACTATCAACTTGGAAAAGCAGAACGGCATGGTCAAGCTATCAAGCACATCATGAAGCGCTTGGTGAGTCAATTTGCAGCCACAACACCTGACGAGATGCAGCAGATCGCCAACATGGCTTGCTTTGCCAAGAACAGCATGGCTCGTCGATCAGGCGCATCACCATGTCAATGGGTATATGGCCGTGCACCAAAGATTCCCAGCGCTATCCTCTCTGAACCCGATGCAGTTGAGGCCAAGCAGGTCATTGAGGACTCCGAGCGCTACAGGCGTATCGAGGAGATGCGCCACAATGCCATGCTGGAGTACCTGAAGTTTGAGCACTCCGAAGCCCTCCGGAAGGCGATACTTCGGAAGTCTCGACCTTGGCGAGGCCCAGTTGAAGTTGGAGCCCGCGTGGCCTACTTCCGGCAGAAGAGCCAGCTGGATGGAGAAGGCACAGCGGAAGGGTACAGACAGGGCATCGTGATCGGTGTCGACCCTTCTCCGACAGGATCAGTTTGGATCCGAAACAACAGAGGCCGAGTTGTTCAGGTCGCTAGAGAACAGCTTCGCGGCGTTGAGGGAGAAGAGCTTTGGACTCCTTCATCAGCTGACTTGCGAATGCTGCGCTCTGCTGAGGAGGACCTGACCACCAAGCATGCTGGAAGCCATGATCACAGAGGGCCTGCTCCCCAACCTATTGAGGACAAGTTGGTTTTGGACGCTGCTGGAGAACCTCAAGCTCAACTGGCTTTGGATGAAGGAGATGACCTTCTTCCACTACTTGCTGTTCCAGCTCAACCTGCTCAACCAGTTGCTCCTGAGCTTGCGATTGTGCCCAAAGCAGTGCCGGCAACACCTTTGTCTGCACCACCTACGCCAAGAACCAGGAGGCAAAAACAACTGGCTGACCAACCAGCAAGTGCGGCAGCGCCCAAACAGCCCAAGAAAGACATCATGCTTCCAGCACAAGGTCAACAACCACTGATCTCAACAGATGTTCCTGCAGGATGGTTTTTGGACCCCGAAGGTCGTCCAACTTGCGTGACCGAGAATGCCAAGACGATCCCAACACCAGATCCACAACAATGTGATCCTGGACGTTATCAATACAGGACAACATGGTCACACCACAAGAACCAATGGAAGAAGTTGGAGGATCGTGTGCTGTGGAACCAGACTCCTGCTGCCGACATTTCTGTTGATGGAGCACCAGTGGAACGTTTGGTTACAACGTTTTCTCCTGACCAAACTGTTGGTCGACGGCCATCAATTCAATCCACTGTGGAGACCCAACGTGGTGTCAAAAGGAATGCTGAACAGTCCGAGCTGCCTGAACAGCGTGGACCTGAACCTACCTCAAGTGCGACAGTTGCTGAGCCAGCCGCAGATCAAGCTCCAACACAAGCACCAGCCGAAGCAAGTGCTTTGCTGACCTACTGCGGTGAATGTGGCAGCACTGACCAAAAACATGACCTTCCTTTCGCACAGTGCTCGCGCTGTAGTGCGCACTCCTTTGTCACCGATCCTCGCCAAGTGATGAATTGGTTTGATGAAGTTGAAGAGCGCCAAGCTTTTGAGCGACTTCAAGAAGAAGTGACCTATGACGCTAGACTGAAACAATGGTCTAGCCTACCTCGAGCTGACTTGCAAGAAGTTCTTCTTCCTGCCCCAGATGCCATGGATGAGGCCTATGAGAACGAAGCTTTTCTGCTGGACATTGGGCAGTGCTTTCGTCTTCCACCTGACGATGCAAAAGATGATGCAGCCTCAGTGTGGAGTGTGGCCGTCCAGAATGGGGACAACGAATGGCAATGGCAGGAGATTTTCCAGAACATTGGCATCGCCCTGGACACTTTCCAGGAAACTCTGCAATCAATGCCTGATGAAGCACACAGAGCCCTCTTCATCAAGCACCAGAGAAAGAGCCGTAGACCTTTGCGGCGAAAGACCTTCCTCCTGAAGATCAAGCTTCCCAGAAAAGAGCGCCACTGGCTTCGGCGACATGGCCGACACAATGTTATGATGTGCGGATGGGATGGCTCCCCACCTGAACTTCAACCTCTTTTTCAATGTGATGATTTCAGCAAGATCTTTCACAACTATGTCACTGACGTCGCGGACAAGAAGACCGCTACTGTGAATGCGGAGGTGATCCAGGCTGCGGAGCAGCACATCAAGCATGGCAGACCCACTTGGGAACAAGTCGCTTGGCAGAAAGCCGATGGACCTGACACTTTCAGCGTGCATTTTGCCGAGAACCAGACCATCACAGGTCCTGAGTCCAGCGACGAGGAGGAGGAGACAGATGGAGTTGGCAGAGCGGCCAAACAGGCCTTGAAGAAAGAAACTCCCTGGCGAACCATCAGCGACGAAGATCGCCCCAAGTTCATTCAGTCCAACCAGGAAGAATGGAATGAATGGTTGAAGTGGTCAAGCTGCAAAGCTGTTTACCCACAGCCAGGAGAGGTTGACCCCAAGCTGATTCTCAAATCCAGAATTTGCTATCGCTGGAAGCCCAAAGATGGTAGCGTTTGGTACAAACCAAAGTCAAGAATCGTGGTTTTGGGTTTTGCTGACCCTCATTTGCCACTGCTGAGCAGAGATGCGCCGGTGTTGGCAAAAACCACCTTGGTGCTCATCATTCAATGGGCTGCAACATTCCGCGTGACTTTGTGGAATGGCGACTGCAAATCAGCTTTTCTCCAAGGAGAACCAGATACAGAGCGGCCGACGCAGATCTACATGCGTCCACCTCAAGACCCCATAGCCAAAGCTTCAGTGCCTGAGTGGAACCACCCCTTGCTGCTGTATGCATTAACAGCACCTGTCTATGGCCAGGCAAATGCACCAAGGAGATGGTTTCTACATGTTCTCCGAGTTCTACTTGGACTCAACTGGCAGCAGCACAGCCTTGACCCTTGCTGCTTTTTGCAAGTGTCTGGTGACCGTGTAACAGCGGTGCTGGGTATCCACGTCGATGACGTGATTTGCTGCGCTTTGGAGGGCTATGAGTACCACCTGGACGAAGTGAGGAAGGCCTTTGAGTGGGGCTCTGAATGGGAACGAGATGATTTCATCTTTACCGGCAGGCGAATCCGTCGCCAAGACGATGGCAGCTTCACCGTGGATCAGGAGCACTATGTGGCGGACATTCACCTGACCAAGATCACCCTTGCGGATGATGAGAAGCTGAGTGATCACCCAGAACTGATCACGGAATTCAGATCAGGCATCGGCAGCCTGCAATGGATGGCAGGTACCACCAGAGGAGACCTGTCTGCTGACACGTCTTTGCTGCAGAAGCCGCCCAAGGAGCTGACGGTTGGAGATCTCAAGGAGGTCAACAAGGCCTTAAAGTATGTGCGCGCCACGGCCAATGCCTACTTCAAGGTGAACCCGCTGGACCTTGAGGACTTGGTGTTCATCGCCTACGGTGATGCTGGCTGGGCAAATGCGCCTGGGAACAAATCTCAAGGCGGACTGGTGGTGCTAGCCACAAGCAAGCGTTGCCTTGAGAGGCCATGCCAGGCTTCATTGCTGGAGTGGAAGTCGTATCGGCATCAGAGGATTCTGAGGTCGACTCTGGCTGCTGAAGCCGCTTCCTTGGACCGGGCCTTTGATGTTGGCAATTTCATGGCCTGCGTGTTCAGTGAGATGACCTTCCCCAACTATAAGGCCACCACTGCGACACCCATGTACGAGGTCATCCCAGTGACTGATGCGCGTTCACTTTGGGACGCGATCCACAGGCTGAGCACGACCTTTGCAGAGAAGCGTGTGGAGATAGATGTGGCAGCGCTGAGACAAAGCTGCCGAGCATTGCGCTGGGTGCCGACAGATCAGCAAAAGGCTGACGCATTGACGAAGAGAAGCCCTGCACTGCGAGACTCATTTCGTAGATGGGCACAAGAGCCCACTGTGGCTTTGACAGATGCCAAATGTGCAGAAGATGGTATAGATAACGAGCCATGGAAGGATGCAACAGCTAACAAGAAAGCTTACCAGTGTCATAGCAGCAACATGTGTGATCATGAGACCATTTAGCATGTCACATCCTTCCAGTGGTGAGTTCCTGCTGGTCTGACAGCTCGAGGAGGGTCATGCGCATAGGAAAATCGACTTGAGCACTGCCGTAGGTGATGGCATTCTGATCCAGGCTCCGTTTGATAGTGGCAGTATCAACGTATCCATCTCCATAAGGAGCCCACTGGTATACCGATAAAGATTTGATTCCAGTGCTTTCAATTGAAGCCGCATGTGCTTGTTGTTTATATAGGATCTACATATCTAGCATGCCAAAAGTCATCAACAAAAACAACATATGATTGGCTTGTTTTTTGGACGCATTTATTGACTGTATTTTTGGGTACTTGCCAATGGAACTTTTCTGGACGGTAGATTCTGATTAGTATCTTATTCAGATTAAACTTCTCAAATCTAACATCCCATATATGGGTGTCTGAAAATGGTGTATTTGCTCTCAAATTGCAATTTTTCGATAGGGATAAAAGGATAATGATGCCAGCTGCCAGCTAATTTTGGGATTCAATCAGCTCAAAATCAGCATATGTTCCCCATTTCTTGTTTCATGGGAACCCCTTTGGTCCCAAAATTCATGATGTTAAAGCGCTATCATTTTCAACATCACCAGAATCTCATATGTTTCTCATATTTTTCTCAATTTTCCCAATATTTTACCAATATTTTTTCATATTCTACCCGGTGTCCCCTAGTTTTCCCCTAGTTTTCCCACATTTTTCCATAGGTTCCCATATTTTTTCGCATATTTTCGCGATATTTTCCCCGAGTTTTCTCCCCATCCCACAGCGCGCCCAGAGGATGTCACCTCCTTCAGCTGCATCGTCACCAGCGCTGCGCAGGCCTCGTGGCGCCTGGCGCTCAGCAGCTTCAAGGAGACGATGAACCGCGTGGGTGCGCAGGGCGCAGGGTGGGCAGGGTGAATGGGGAATGTCAACCCTGGATTAATAAACCCCGGATTAATAAACCCCGTTTACGGCTGTTTAATTGGGGGGGGTACCATAAAATAGGAGGAGTACCCCCCTAATTAATAAACCATGGTTTATTCATCCGGGGTTGACATTATATAATTAGGTCAATCTTAGATGGATACGAACTAATCCTAACTAGTCTTTTGGTATCAATGGGAATATCTACTAATCAGCAAAGACTTTAATTTTTTGCAGGGTATCTAAGATTGGCAATGATAATGGGATTATAGTGGTTATAACCCATATTGGCTCACCATGGTGCTGGTATATTTAGCTACAAACCTGGGTGATTTGTATGGCAAATGTTGGTGTGCATATTCCAGCACCATGGAGCATCTGGGTAATGGTTAATCAGGGTGAATAATAGTTAATCATGGTTAATAATGGTTGATGGTCAATGGTGTTTTTTGATACCCTCTGATAAACATACACAAAACTATGGAAAACCACAATTTTTATTAGGTAAAGCAACGAACTAAATGGCTATTTTCCATAGCTATGTAACAAATTACCAGAGGGTATTTGATCTATTGATATGTCCGGTGGCAAAAAAGCCAACATTAGAGCATATTGGAGCTATGGGCAGTTCAATATTCCCAATGTTTTTTTGTTTTTTAACTGTATTTAATATGATGATGATGGAAGATAGCGAATTTCATTGGCATTTAATGGGAGTATATATAATGGGTTTTCCCATGGGAATATACATGGAAATTTTGGTGAATGGTTCGGGCAAATCCCAAATAGATAGATGGAGGTTTATAGCTGGGAGAATCAAGTACAAATGGATGTAATTAACAGACACACACACACACACACATATATATATATATACATATATACTGGTTGGTGGTTTCAAACATTTTTTATTTTCCATAATATATGGGATAATCCTTCCCATTGACTAATATTTTTCAGAGGGGTAGGTCAACCACCAACCAGTGTATATATATATATATATATCATGGGAATTTGGATGAATTATAACGATCCCACGTCGCGACCTCACTGGAATGATGGTGAATGGTAAAGGGGGCTCCTGATCCCATTGCGGAACTTTTCAGGTCAGTGATTTTGTTAGTATAATTTACCAGTATTTGATCTATCCAGTGGATAAATCCATCGCATCTTTAATAAGGGAGTCATAAAGAAATCAATGCATTCAGATCTTTGTAATTCTTTGCGTTTGGGATTTGCATAAGCCTACAATCTTCTGAATATAATGAACTAAAATATAACAAAAATAAACATACTCCAACAAGCGGTTGGCGTACTTTATTGCGGCGGAGGCTACTAATCGCTACCAATCATATATGAAAATTATTCAGGCTTAGGACCAATCTTCTTCCAATATAATAATATAATAAATATCCATATAACTAATTATATACGTGTATTATATATATATCATATTATCCATTTTTTTCATCTTCGAGTAATTCAGGGTTGAAAGAATCCCTTATACGTGGACTGGTTTGGCGCTGGGTCCTGGATGGGATCAACGGAAAACAGCTCCATGGCGCTGGAATATGCACACAACATTTAGCCCATTTTTATGACCCAGTTTTGTAGGTAAATCTACCAGCAGCATGCTGAGCCAATATGGTTTTTTTCGTATGAAAGCTAAGCTGCTTAAAGTGTATTCATTGGATCCATGAGAGGAAATAAACCGGTAGATGGCTGGAAGGAATAAGATGGCTGGCGCAGTACCAGCTTCAGGAAGGTCGCAATCCTCCCAACCGCACATCACAATTGTTTACCAACCAAATATTGATTCTTAACATCCCAATGTTGTTTGTTTAAAGTGTCCATTCTTGAAGCATGCATCGTCGATATTTGGTTACATATCAAGTTTTCTGATTTTACTGATCACAAGTCGATGTTTTTCAGCACTGATTGCCAGCCCATTTTTCTTCATTCCAGGAGGAATTGATCCTTAAATCTCAACCTTCACTCCCCGGAAATCCAACAGGAAATGCCATTTAGGAAGCTTCAAAACAAGTTTATTGTAGCTTACTGATCCTTTTTGGAGACTTTTCTAGTGATTTTCCCCCAAAAAAGGTAGACACACTGCGGTGTCATCATCCCTTTTCGCATCATCACATGGCATCTCCAAGGCTTCTGCGCAGCCATCAACGCCTGCGAAAAGGGACAGCGATGGCCACAGGCCATTCATCTGCTGCAGATGCTGCGACTGCGAGCAGATGCGACCTGGGCCGAGTTTTCAGGTGTTTCGCGAAAAAAAACCTTGATTTACCAGCAAAGATGGTAATTTAGTATGGTTTAGTTGGATTTGATGGGATTTATTTCGAATGGGATTTGATGAGAGCTGACGAAGTTGGTTTTTATAGCTGTTTACAATTGGCTAGGGCTTATGAACTTATGGTAGATAGGAGATATCTATAATGTTGGAAACCAACGTGTAACTGAAAAAGCCACCTTGTGGATGTTTTGTTTGGTGGTCTATGTTTGAGCAGTGCAGCGGACCTCCCCTGGCGGTTGATCACGGGGATTAAAAAAAAACAACAAAATAGTGGGGATATGCGCGGATTACTCTCTGGTAAACTAACAGTTTGCTACGGACAATCACCATTTTATAGCTGGGTAAATCCACTATTTCGACTTGGCCATTTTCAATAGCTTTTTGTATGTTTACCAGAGGGTATCAACATCCATTATGTTGGAATCCTGTTCTTAGCCATTTCTTAAACAACCAGTACGCACAGCGGAAATGACGGAGGGTTTGGAAAAATGATCAAATAATCTACATGAACAGCTGGAGGGTAGTTTCAAACCATGTTCTCATTTTCCATCCTGGCAAAACTCATAATTCCGAAGTAGTGAATATTTGGGGTAGTGAAACAAACAATCAAGTGGTATCTCTTGGGGGCCCGGGGGCCCCGCTTACACGAAAACCAACTTCCATGTCCTGTCCCAAACCACCTGGAAACTGAAAACCCCGATCCCAGACTTGGCTTGAGACATCCATGCATTGATCCTGGTAGTCCCAATGTTGCTGAAATTACCCTCTGGTAATTTAACATAGCTATTGAAAATGGCCATTGAAATAGTGGATTTCCCATTGAAAATGGTGATTTTCCATAGCTATGTTAGTTTACTAGAGGGTAAACCATACATATTTGACATCTCAATTGGTCAGCCGAAATCCTGGTGAAGCCCCTCCCCGTGGGTCCCAGCCCCTCCCAGGTCCCCAGCTTCAATGCAGCGCTGAGCTGCTTAGAGGGACAGTGACGTCAGGCCCTGCAGCTTTTTCCAGATATGGTGAAGGCCAGGGGAACCCGATGAATCTGGTGGGATATAGCTGCTGCAACCGACCTTATCGAGTTTACTACCACCTCTCAAGCGTTTGCTGTGAAGAGAGAAAGGGAGATATAGTAAAGCTACATTATATATATATACACATATGTATACACACATATATACATATATAACTATATATGTATATATATATATAGAGCAGATATGTTCATACTGAAATATGAATATGCTAGCCAACAAAAGACTGCAGGGTTTTGGCACCTTCAAGGTTCCTTGAATTGAATGAGGGAATTGTACCAACCTCTCAACTAACAAAGACCTGGGAATGGCCGACTTTACACGAAAGTTGTCTTCCAACCACCATGTGGCAGGGCCTGCGCCAATTATATAGCTGGGGGAGGGATATGTTTTTCTTTTCCTCAAGAAACACTTACTTAACAACATCATGGCGGAGAACAGGGCTGACTGTAAGCCGTTAAGGTCCACTAAAGTCAACCCAATGAATGGAAATTGGGATGGAACAAGAAACGTGGTGGCTCAACTGAAGATAGACTACAAGAATTTATTATATAGATGAATCAAAGGATGAATACTGGTGATGTCATGTAGAACCAGAAATTCAGCGAACTATATATGGTGAGTTTTCACCAAAACGTGGCGCGCAAAATTGTTATATCTACGAACATTGAAATATTCGGATCAAACATTAGATAGAACCTACGAAGATGGACATATTATGACATATTTGGCATTTGGGTGTGTCTGAAAATAGTGTACCCCTAAACCCAATGGTTAATGATCATTATCCCTATTAAATGGCTATTTGTTTGGGAATATACCCTATTTTCAGACAAACCCATTTGGGTCAATCATTTCGGGTCGTTCCCAAAATTCGCGATCCAAACATGGCCCAAATAGTTCAGGCTGACCTCCATCCCAACGACATCAGCTTCAACAGCCTCATCAGCGCCTGCGAGGATCGCTGGTTCTTGGCGCTGCATTTCCTGGAGGCACGACGGACTATGGCCAGGTATTAGGCCAGGTTCCAGGAGAAAATGAAGGGTGCAACCGGTGCAACCTTCCATGGTGAATAGATGTGGTACCCTCTGGTAAACTAACATAGCTATGGAAAATCACCATTTTTCATGGGAACATCCACTATAAATGGCCATGTTCAATAGCTATGTTAAAAATTACCAGAGGGTAGATGTGGTAATTAGATGGCCCGGCCATGGCGGTTGATTTCGTGCATCAATGATGTTGGTGCTGGGGATCAAATGGGCAAAACATGGCAAAACCTGGGCGCAGCTCAAGAAACGATGTGCGTTTTCACTGGGGAAATGGGGGTTAAACCATGGGATGGGGTGAGGTTCGAAAAACGCCGTTAAATTGCTTGGCAAAACCATCCGCGCGAATGATTCCCCAGTTTGATTAAAATTGCTTGAATCATCACCATCATATAATATAACATATACTATCAGTTACTATAAAGAAAACTCCAAAATGGTTGCTTCAGCTACATGAACAATCATCAATCCATCATCAATCCCCGTTTCGTCTGCTGTTTCTGCTGCCATCGCCATATCTCCGGCGCCCGCCTCCGGGGCCTCCTGGGCCTCCGCCGGCCGCCGGAACAGAGGTCATAGCGTGGCAGGGCGGTGCAGATGTCATTTCCTTCTCTGCGGTGCTCCGATCGCTGGAGAAAGCAGGACAGGGCCGGGCCATGCCGGGCCGATCACGTCGCCGGAAATCCTATGGGAAGATGATGAAAATCATCTGGTTGGTGGTTTGGAACATGACCTTTATTTTCCATAATTGGGATGATCCTTCCCAATTGACTATTTTTCAAGATGGTTAAAACCACCAACCAGTTGAAAATTGATGACAGGTACTCGTACGTGATGTAGGCAACATCCCTGGAAAACCTTGACCAACATGCTTTGTTTGGACATGTTTGGAACAAATGGGTATGCCGTGAAGCTTTGGTTGTGTGTTTTTTCTGGAAATGTTTGTTGACGAACCTTTCGGGGAGTACGATGTCCAGCGATTGACCTTTGTTTTTGGTGAAATGTGACATCACTCCGGCCTTTTCACATCACTCAAGTGTGGCCATCACTGCCTTGCCAGAGAACAGGCCGCTGAGGTCAAAGTGAACCTAACTGAGGTTCACAAATTGTGAATTGTGGCTTCCTGACACGGGGGGGGGGGCGTTGCTAAGCTTACAATTTTTCAATTGCTGAATCGTCAGGAGGCAACCTGCCAAACTCAGAGAAATATGGTGATCTGATAATTACACAAGGTGGTGCCCACCCCCCGTGACAAGTTGGTTTACACTCCCCCTCACTATAGATATAATCCCAGTAAACCCCAGTTATTGATTGGAGTTGTGTTCACGAACTTAGCAAACTATGAGGCACCACCTAACAAAATTCTCAAGAGTCAGGATTCAGGATCCATCTAGGTTTCACCAGATCTTGTTGAAACAACTTCACCATACTGTAGTAGTATGATGATCGTGAAATTTTCGATGTGCTTCTGTTTAAGGGTGATTTGTCACCATGTAATTTCTTGGACCAGATGACTGTGTGTTCGCTTAATCAGCAGTGGCATCACGCATACACCCCAAAGTAGAAAGTATCGAATCTAGTACCCAAAGAAAGGAACATCATGCCCAATTGGCAAACTGGGAAGCACCATCACAGTATCCATTTGTGGCTATGAATCTTAGATGCTTGGTTCAATCCTCTGTCGTTGAAACTCCCAACTTTGCGGGTTGTTTGCCTGCTTTGGTCTGATTTTTGTCAGTGATAATTAATCACAATTGTCCTTCTTCAACTGTCATTTTTGTTGGTGAACTTGCCACAACTTGCCATCTTTTCTTTGTGAACTTTCATTTCTTCATGTTTTTCTTCTCAACTTTCACCCGGCTGAAATCTCAAAAACATTCCCCGGAAACTCTTCTATGAGAACTGGGAGTCCCATCACAAGGGAATATCATGGACATTGTGAAAAATAAAGAAACACAAAAACAACTAACAACAAATAATATAAAATAAGATTTAACAAAGGGAAAAAAAGGAAAAGAAAAGGAGAAGAAAAAGGAGAAGGAGGACAGCCTGTCGCTGTCCACAGATGAGGAGGTCCTTCCTAAAAAAAAGAGGAAGAACAAGAAGGACGAGGAGAAACACAAAGACAAAACCAAGGGCTAAAAAGCCTGAAGGACATGCAGAGATCAGTGTGGCTGAAAATAAATGGCAGCTGCCTGTG